TCGCCAATCATCTGGAAGATCATCAAACCAGCCTTCTCGTACGTTTTCTTTGCTTGAAAATCACGTACGAAGGCACAGCCCATCCAGTTGAATTTGTTGCCTCAATTGCAGTCACCCATTCTCGATTTCAGGCTGTAAAAGCTTCGGCTGAGCATATCGATCGCTTCCAGTAATAACCTTTGCAGTTGCACAGAGTCCCATAGCAAAGCCAGTCTCATCAAAGTTGAATATATCTTCCGGTAAGATGCCGTACTCAGATATAGCAGCTTGTACGCGATCAAAATGTTCTTGTATTATCTTTGGATCTTCGCATTTAGCACGTTCGTAGTTGTATTTCCTTGCGAATTTGGAATCGATCTCTGGACGGCGTTTAATCAGTTTAGTTATCCAATTTTTTCCAACTTGTGGTTTGCCATGTTGTGAAAGTATATAATTAGCCATTTCTCGTACAAGAGAATGCCGGGGGGGTAATCCACGTCGATCTAAATCAAGCACCCATTTGACAAGCGATTCCTCTTCATATTGAGTCAATTTATGGCTGTTGGCGCGTACGAGAGATCTTTGTTGAATACCATTGAGTCTATCTTGTAAAGTTGTCCGGGGGATCTCGTAAATCCTTGCAGCTTGAGCTACACGTTGAATTCGGCCATTCTGTAAATCGGAAATTGCTAATAAGATTCGTCCCTCTTGCTCATCTAAATTTTTCCGGTTTTTATTGCGAATTGGTGGCATTTTGACGTGTTGAATAATATAAAATCAATATCGTGTACGCGCTCGGGAAAAAATGCCGGCTCGGTAGTGGTGCCGCTTCGGTGGTGAATTACGTTATTAGATTTGCTATATCTTATTTACTAATACACTGCAAAATTAATTATATTTTATGTTGGGAATATCACCTCACATCACATATCACCTTTGCCAGCTATTTACATCCATACTAGATCATCTAGTATGCGCGCAGCTTTTTGGTCTAGTTGGTCAAAAGCCCAACATTTTATTGTTATGTGGTGTTGTAAAGCTGCGAAATATTTTACATGGCATGTCGCGAAAACCGTGTATGAGGTGGTGTCGTGCACGAGGCGGTGAAGTACTGTAGTACGTTAACGTAAGTTACAAAAAGCCTTAGTCAGCATAACACGTTTCCTTTTTGGGATAGCTAGCCTGAGAAACTGAGATAATAGGTTGTTCATCCAGTCAGTTATCCCGCAAATCATCCATTTACCATCGCGAACCATGTAGTGACCTCCTACATGTCGCGTTATCAGCAAGATGCTAATCAAACACCTGCCCCTCCTCGTTCACGGCGGGGCCCGGTATTCTCACTGAATCATTTTCCATCTAGCGGCTCTGGTAGTCAATTTGCTACTCCACCTCGATTTCAATTCCCGGATGAGACGAATGGAGGTGATGCTTTCAAAGGCAGTAGCGGATTAAGACAAGTATTTTCCCAAGCACGTCATCGGAGATATGACATTATAAGCCCTTTGAGAAGTGGCAGGCACAAGCCTTTACAGATTTCTGATGATGAGATTGAAGATGATTTCGACGATACGAAAGATACCAGTCATGGTGTGGAAGCTTCCACGGGCCTGGATGATCTATTCGACATTCCAAAGCGCTCGAATAAAAGGGCTCGAACGTCTCTGAATTTATCGCAGAGTCCAGCCAGAATCAGTCGCGAGGGTACTGATGATGTTTTTGATGAAATAAACGATTCGAGTCCATTCATACCAGATTCTCCGCCATCACCACCGGCTCAGAATAAACCCAGAAACGTGATGACATCACCACTCTCACAGCTGGGCTTTGATCAACAACCATTTAACAACGAATTTGCTGCGCCTGAGACATTTGACCCACTTTCTGAACCACAAACACCAGATCATGCTTTGGAATATGACGACGGCCGCTCAAGCAGCAGGCCACGGTTCATTCTCTCAGCGAATTATACCCCTGTATCAACTGCTACACCCTCTACTTCAACACGCCAGAATACGCGGAAGAAACCGACATTCGTGTTACCCCGATCCCCATCACCAGATCGAGAAGATGCTTCATTATCGGCTATTCCAGGGCCCTTTTCACCCGTGGCAACTCGTAGTCTTCGGCGTCCCGGACGACCAAAGTCATCAGTAACAGCAGCTTATATGCCTGGTGGAATGGCCGAGCAGCTTCGAGACTGGATTATGGAGACTGATATGAAACGCAAAGCAACATCAGAACAATCGCGTCAAAAGCGAGAGGATCGATATTCGATGATTGGGAAGGTTCATATGTGTGAAAACGCATATCTCAAGTCTTCCGGCCCGGTTATCAGGGCTCAAGTAAAGCCAGAATTAGCTGGAGGAAAAGATTCACTTGATAGCGAGCATGGTTCTCAACCTATGACTATCTTGCTACTAGGCGTGGCTGCTTCTCGTTCACGTACCAACAGTACTGGTCAGTCGACTAGAGACATTTCAGCACAAAGTGAGAAACTGAAACCGGGCGATATCATCGGAGTCGGATCAGGCCTGTCATGGGAAGTTGAGGTAGACTCCTTCAACGTCAATCATAAAATCCACAATAACCAAACACGGGTTGGTCATCGAGTCGTTGCTTCTTCTTGCTCTAAGCCCGAGGATGAGTTTGAAGATGAAGACGAAGTGAATACAGATATACACCTCACGACTTCTACATGTTCTACGCGCAAGACATGGCGGGTGGTAGCAGAGTGGGATTTATTAAGTCAGACTTGATGATAGTGTTTGATGTTGAGAAATAGTGTATCAAAAAGAGGGTCTGGTAGAGTAAGATGCAACGGAACCTTAATGCTGAAACGAAGGTCACAACATGCAGTGTTGAACAATATATGATACGTATATCGATAGTTACATATAATATACGAAAGTGTACAACATTCAAACGCGCTCAAGGATCATGGACTCGTATCCGGATTTCAGCTCTCCTTCAACTCAAGTATTCTTATTGTCAAGTCCAGTCAAAGCATTTACTGCAATACCACAACCCCATTTGACCAGTTTCTTCTCCTTGCTACTTGAAACAATATCTGACTTGGCAACAACCTTGCGCATAAAATAGATCAATCCTTTAACAATGTGCGGTGCGGTTTGATGGGTTTGTGCAAATATTCGAGTGAGGAGAAGAGCCTGTTTATCCTTGGTCTCGTCTTCGTGCTCGGGTTGTTTCCTTTTCTTCTGATCTGTGGGTTTTGTCTTGCGCGCCGAGGACGATGTTTCGTGGCGAGTTTGTTGGAAGATTGTGATAATCAACACTTCGACAAAAGTCCTGGTCTTGGGTTGCAAGTATGCAAAGTTGAGATTTTTCAAAATCGCCAAGTTCAAGGAATTATCGCTGATCAAGTTGCCGTACATTTTGGACAGGTTAACGATGGATTTAATGTCTAGCTTTGTATTGTTGTCTTCGTCGAAACCATGGAATTCATCCCCGCTGCCTCCCTCGTCGAGATCGTTCGTCTCGCCTAGACGTTTGAATACATCCCATAAAGTGAACATAAAAGACATTTTGATCCGTCTGCCGAGTTCGCCGCAAAGACGTCGAGCAATGAGGTGATAATACGGATTATAAGCTTCTTCCTCCATAGAACAATGGACAAGTACACGAGGAATTTCATATTCTTGATTCTTCTTCAGGCGTAGCTTCAAAAGTCGGGCGTGAGCATCTCGATAATCCGTCGCAGACATGATGGCTACAAAGATTGAGCGTCGAACATCCGTGTTCATGCGATGTGCTTTTGCGATAGTGACTAAGTCCAGCTCTCCATCGCTGTCCTGGTCTGTTACTACCTTATTTGTGCCAATAGCGGCTGAAGAAGTAGACAACTCCTGACGAGCAGCCTCAAGAGGGTCCGATTCTTTCCAGCTGGCACCTACAAGCCACCACTTTCCCTTTCGCTCCGAGTTCTGAATATCGCTCCTGGAGACCCGGATGGGTTCTGTTGCTCGTATATTTCGATTATTCAATGATCCTAATATCTTGCGCATCTTGGTGATATGTTCGGATGTTATGCTGGATGCCACTGCGCCGGTTTTCATACGATTGTTTTTGAGGTCGGTGATGGTGTCAATCATGAATTTTGTGCGGACAGACAAGGATGATTCTCCAATGCGTGATACGGCTGGTTGAATGAGGAGGACGATGTCTTTGAGAGAAGACGGATCGTCTTGTCGAAGCTGGGGGCCGGAATCTAGAGGTTGTTAGCAATGAAACCTCCACTTTGATGAGAATGAACATACTGCGAATGATTTTGAGAAGAAACTCCGTATTTCTCTCCGTGATCTCCTCTAGGAATAAACGGATGTAATCAAATACCAGATTACTTCCAACCACATGGAAATTGTACAGCTGTGAAAGAAGTGAAACCAAATTCAACTGTTCTTTTCCAGTGAACGGCCCCCTTTCATCAGCTGACTTGTCGAACGCCTCGATCAAAGTTTGAATGATCATAGCACCAAAATCCATTCCAATCAACTTGTACAACCCTGCTATAAACCCAGCATGTAGAATGATAAAGGTATCTTGCAATGCGGCCCGATCAGTTATTAGAGTAAGTAAAAGCGTTACCAACGTCGAAGTAACACTTTGACGCGGGTTCTCGCGATATAGTTTCTCGACATCGTTCAGGATGGAAATTACGTTGGCTTCTGAGAGCTTGTTTAGCAAACCTTGTGTCTGCCGACGTAGCCTTGCATCTTCTTCGGACTTGCTTCCGACTGCGACCCTTAGAGATGGGGGAACGTATTTCGTAGCAGAAGGGGTTTTTGTGGGTGGCGCAATATAAGGATTTTCTCGGACACGCTCTTTTTTAGGCTCTTCTTGCACTTCGACTTCACTTTCAAAATCTTCGTCATAACCCTCAAAATCCTCGGATTCTTCTTCTTCACTCTCGAGTTCCTCATCTGACTCGCCGTCTCCCTCGTCCAATGAACCTGCAGATTCTTCAAGACCATCCCAGCTTCCGGCATCACTGGCCTCCTCATCACCCTCAGAGTCTAACCCTTGCGCCCTTCTTCTTTTTCTTTGTAACCATTCACGTTCTTCGCGTTTCCGTTTCTTATTGTCCTCCATATCGGAGTCTTCACCAATATCACCCAAAAGATCAGCAAGGCCGTCCTCCTCAAAGGACTTCGGTAGCTTGTTCCGCCCTTTGATTCCTAGCCGTTTTTCAAGAGCCTCGATTTCCTTGTCGTCCTGCGCCAGTTTATCCCTCACAGTTTTCGATATTGTTGGTTGCTTGCATTCGGGTTGTTTTCGGTCAACCGTTTTTGTCTCTTGCGATTTCGACCCTTTTGCTGGTGCAACTTGCTCATCTTCTTCGCTGGCAGATTCCTCCTCACTCTCCTCCTCAGATCCACTGTCAATCTCTTGTCTTCTATTCATAACCCCGGCACGGTGGTGATGTTTCTTTTCATGCCTCTCTTCCTTCCGTCGCTCTTTGCGCGATACAACTCGATTTTGATTCCGTTTCTTTTCGCCATATCGATCTTTTAGTCCTAATTCTTCTCTTAATTGTCGAGGAAGAGCTGTTGTGAGATGTCTCGGCCGAGGCATGTTGTCTTTTGTCATTGTCAACTCTGTCGACAGAAGAAAAAACGTTGCTGTAGGGGACTCAAAATTTGCGGAGTTGAAAATAAAAAGTGGTCCGAGCTTCCGCACTTTTCTTCCCCACCAACTCAGAACGCCGAGACAAGACAACATACATCTTCGGACAGATAATCCAATTCGCCTTCGCAACACAGTCGAGCATTCAGATTACAAAGCTTGAGAAGTGAATATTGGCTGTTTCAATTCGACGAGACATCCGCGGCCATATTGTGGTCAACTTCCATTATGGCGCCGCATTTGAGCAATGACGAGGTCAGTTCATCGCTATAACATATATTTACCCAACTCACTAACTCGCAATAGTTCTTCGCCTCCTTGACAAATCTCTTCACCAACACCACCCAAAAAACAAAAGGAAGCATCTACCTCACCCAGAAACGCCTCCCATCCTCCTTTTCGGACCAATCGACCCCCGAAGGCTCAATACTTGTCCGCGCAACAGATGGAAGGACACAAAACCCCAATCCGAGAGACAGCAAGGATTCCAAAGTGAGCAAAAAGAAAGTAGCACCAAAAGTTAAGATATCTACCGTCGTGAGCCCGGCGGATTTGGAGTTGTTCTTTGTGCGGTATGCAGATGTTTGCAAGGCGGGTATGGTGGCATTAAAGAAGAGGGATCGCAGTGCGAAGAAGAAAGGGAAGGCGAAGGCGAAGACTACGAAGGGTTGATGTGAAATTATGGTCGGATTTTCGGGTTTGGTAAAGGAGGTTGGCTTTTAAAGAAAAGAGAGATTTACTGCATAAGCCGGCGTTTATACTTGGATGTTTACTGGGTCTGATTAAGTTATTAGAATAAGGAGTTGTCTCAATTCCATTTACCCTCTTACACCAATGATGGACGATTTTCGATATGGTTTCGATTGGTCAACTGAGTGATAGTCAGCTCAGGTACATACACCGACACATTCATGCAGGAATATTGCAAGTAACGGGATTATGTGTGAAAATACATGATTTAACAACAAAACGACAATTTGAACAGAAAGAAGTAGGCAAGATTAAAAATACACTAGATGTTCTAATACAGCTATGGTGACAAAATATAAGTGCGCGCTATGAGGAAGAAAACATCAGGTCATGTCAATAAGTATCATGAAGTGAAATAGGAAATATTCGGACAATGGTGTATGCATGGAAGTTGTATTAAAATTTCGACTCGATGGAGAGGAGGAGTAGTCAAGGATTCCGATATTGAAAGCACATATGTGCGACTCGCTGAACTGTAGTTCGTTCATTGGAAATGTCGGCATCACTCTAAATCAGACAAATGGTTGGTAGGGTCTCCCAGATGTAAGGAATGCCGGAATGCGCCAGGGGTTGTGTCGGGCAACCGGAAACTGTCCTCATCTTCATCACGTTCCTTCGTTTCTGGAGTAGCATCCGATGCAACTCGTTGCGCGCCGTCATCAGTCACGAACTGGGCTGCAAGGTGAATAAAGAACAGAAGAAGCTGGAGAGGAAGAACCAGAACTAAGGAGCAGGCCTTGTCAAATAGTAATGTTGTCATACTTTTTGATGGCCGAGGTGATAGATACTCCAAAGTGGAAGCTGGGGGTAAAGGCGAGAGATCCCGATTTCTGAAGGATCTAGTTCGGCGCAATTCCATTAGAATATTTTCCCTTCTAACTAGAGTTCTTGGACTATCACATGAGGGTTCCACTCCAGTCGCTAGAGTAGCAGTGACATCAGGCAATTTGGGTTTAGAAGAGGAAGATGAAGTAATGGTATTAGTACTCAGTTGACGTTCGTTCGGTTCCCGTGGAGGAGACGGTGACTGATTTAGGTTGATATTAGGAGTAAGCTGCGCCGGAGAAATTGATTCGGGTGTTATAGTGGCTGTCGAAGTACCTCTGTTGTGGTTGTGCAAACGCTGATGTGGGAGTGAAAGGTCCGGTGATTGTTCATCTAACGGCGATGCTGGATGACTTGAATATGATGGCGAGGGGGGGGCTTGTGGCTCCTGCGTCATGAGAGAATGGAATGATATGCTATCGTCCTCGCTGTCTGATTCAGGTATCGGCTGAAATCTAGCGAGTATGTCGTGTACTGAACGTGCTGGCTCCGTGACCGATCTCTTCGAACAGATCAATTGGTCTTCTGTCGCGTCGGGCGCACTATTGTTGGAAAAATCATCAGACAGGCTAGAATCAAATTGTGGTACACCCGTTATAGTTGTGGAAGAGCTATCGTCCGTAGTCTCGCCATCGTATGCATCCAAACCATCGGTCTGTCGAACTGTGTCCACATCATTCACAGCATTTGGCCATGATTTACCCAGCTCCGATCCAGCCGGAGCGCTTTCTCGCCGATATTTGGGCCGCCAAGCTCTTTTCTTCTTCGGTATATGAGCTTCCGCAGGCAGTGGTACACTAAAACCGCGCTGAAAAGGACAGGGTGTCACTTCATAGCGAAGAACTTTAGCCAAAGCGCTTTTGAAATTCTCGATTAGGTCCGCATCTTCCGGTGTCTGGTTTGGGAGCTCGATGCGGTAATAAGTCAAAGACCGGATACGCAGCACAAAGGTCGATTTGCCGTCCACACACCAACATTGAGAGTTTTTCAGTATTGCCTGCACGACGTTTCCACACTTGAGAAAGGGAGATAGACCAGTTGGAATTTCTAGCCTTAGACGACCGACAGCAACTGTTCTTTCCGTGGGCGACCGCCAGGGCAAGGTTTCGATCGTGTCTACTGGATAGTCACAATCGATGGATGGTGCGGATTGTGATGCTGTAGGGGGCGCATCGGGAGCGAATTTGACGATTTTGGCGGACGAGTGGAAAAAGAGCACGGGATTAAATTCGTCACGATTAGCAGGTGTTTCGTTGAACTGCCGTCTTTCTGAAATGAACTTTGATGGTAAAGTTGCGGATCTTCGGATTGGCGCAATGCCAGCTCTAGGTAGTTGGCTCATGGTGTGTGCATGAACCACTTGGGAAGGGTGGGCAAGGACGCAGTTCACAACTCAGAAGGCACCGCGCGCCATGGTGGCTTCGTACGAGACGAGGTCGAGGCAGATCATGAACCGCAAGATAGATAGCTATGGTTTCTGTACGACATAGGTCGGACATGGATTGGCGGGGAAAATGGTAAAGGTCACACTCGGCGGCACAGACGTTCAATAAGAGCATCTGATATACGTAGTAGGCCTGAGGCTAGTCCCTAGATTGCCCCACAGTGAAGATCGCGGCACGTGATGTCATATACTTTATCACTTTATCTACAGCCATGAATTCGACAAAGAGCTCGGTCCTCAAGTAGAAGATCTCTATGTTGACATTAAGCACCGTCAGCTGTCATGTATGTGGATCGCGTAGATATGTATGTAAATGTATGTACATGCAAGACATTTGGACTATCGGCACAAAGTTTCCCCGAGTCCGAGACCGCTTGACATCATATCAACATTGTTTCAGCCTACTACGTAGTAGAAAGTTCCCCCTTCTCTCAATTATCCTCCACGCTGATGGGATCAATCGTCGTTGAGATTAAGATCACGCATCAGAAAATATCTGGAACAGACTCAGTAATCCGACTTGCTGGTGGATCCAGCAATGTCCCAGTTCGAACCCAATGCCATTCTGAGGGGAGCTCAGCTCACAATCGTCGGCAGTGAGTGAAATTCATATCTTCTCGGTGGCAACGCTCTAATGGGTGCGGCTTCATTTATAGCACTTCGAATCCTGCGCAATCCCGAATTATTCAAGCATGACCACTTTCGCCAGGCTGCCCTGGCCGTCGTGGTTGGGGTGGTGATCCACCTCATCCTACAAATACCGGTAAGAAGAGATCTCGACGGCTCGTACGATCTGCATATTGATCAACCATATCCTCTAGATCATTCTCATAAAATTAGCGATCCAGATAGCTTCCGTCGTCATCGATCTCGACTATGTGACTTGGGATGATAAGCTTATTGAAGGACTGAATTTTATATCCAACTCCGTGCTTCAAGTTCCTTTCTTGCTGATGACCCTTATGCGATACATTACGCCAACTTTGGACGATATGTGCGAACCCCCTATGAAAAATATACCCTCGCACAGTTGACTAACCTGGTCTGTAATAGATTCCTCCTATCCCTCGAATGGGTTGATGCCACATACGTCGAGAAACACAAAAAGGACGATCCCCGAGATATCAGGGCCATGTACTATCCGAACCTCGTTAGGTATCCGACAAAGAAGTCTCGCGACTCATCGAAATTACAGAAACCAATCAACAGCGGACTCATGGCGTTTGTCGATCGATATGCTCGTAGAGTAGCCATGTGGCTGGCTATCTATATTTTTTCTTTGAGCTCGGTGGTTGGACCCTTGGTCATGCCTGCCGCTAGTTTTTATAGCGTTAGGAAGTCCTTGGGCACAGCCCCGGCAGCCGTTATATTTGCATCAGGACTGATACTGCCAAAACGGTACATCGTTTTCTTTTTACATAGTTATTTCGCCTCGCGAAGCTTGATGCGCGAGCTGGTAAGTTCTTCCTCGCTTAGAAAAAGCAAATTGAGCTTTACACTAACGTGATCAACCTCAGCTTGAACCATATTTCTCTCGCATTTCCTTTGATAAGGACCAAAAACGAAGATGGTTCCGTGACCGCGAGGGTGTTCTCTTTGGCTTTGCATTTGCTTTTACCATCATACTCAAGACACCGTTCATCGGCGTGCTCATGTACGGAATTGCGCAAGCATCCACTGCATATCTTATTACGAAGATAACCGATCCTCCGCCACCCCCTGAACGCAGTGAAGGGTTTGCCGAGAAGCAAGTCACTTGGGAAAATAAGCATGACTTTTTGCAACTTTCCATTGATGCTTTGGACAAAATCAATGTAAATGCAGTCGATAAAAGTCGAGGTAAGAGTTCGGGTGTGGATGTGTCTCCGAGCCCTGGGAAGGTTTACTCATGATGGCGTTTCCTTCCTTATATAAATTTTGTCCTTATATTATTAAACCGACACATCCAGATCAGTAGTAGCTCATACTTAAGTGGCCATAAATATTTTTTGGATATTGGTATGTAGGAACTTTTATTCTAGACGTACTTCTGGCAATATACAACTCTAGCTACGAAAAGAACTTACGAGCTGCTTCTTTCTGCTTCTTGTCAGCCTCCGCAATAATCTTTTTCACCCGGGTAATTTCATTGCTAATAGCAGCGTCACCAGGAGCAAGCTTCAAAGCCTCCTCAAGATCCTTGATAGCATCATCCTCCTCCTTCAAGCCAACTTCAGCAACGGCCCGACGATAGTAAGCCTTTGCGCGATCCGCATCCTTTGCATTGGCAGCGTCGGCTGTGTCTAATGCGTAACCAGCCCATGTCTTTCCATCCGGGAAATGTTGCAGCTTATTTGCGAGTAGAGCTGAGTTGGAATGTAGTGTGAATCGAAGGACTTTCATTTGCGCATCGAGCTCTTTCGGGTCTTTCTCGTCGACTTCGGGTACCTCGTTTAGATATCGGAGAGCCTTTTGGTACTTGCTTAATCCGACCCAAGTCTTGCCACTCTTGAACGCGATGTTACCGAGTTCTTTGAGCTTTGAAGCAATTTCAAAGGCCGTTTGCGCATTCAGTTCACCCTCGTGGTCAGCAGGGTAGTCCTCGTATGGATCGCCGGTGGCATCCACAACCTTCTTATCGGCATTATCGTAATCTTCACCCTTTAACTCTCCGCAGTCAGCGATGATAACATCCCTAAGCGGCTTGTCGGCTTGCGTGGGCATGTTTTCGATCTTTCGAACGAGACTCTTTCCGTTGATCACCTGTCCAAAGACAACATGTTTACTGTCCAAGTGCGGGGTCTCGACTGTCGTGATGAAGAACTGGCTGCCGTTGGTGGCAGGGCCAGAGTTGGCCATGGAAAGAAGAAAGGGTCGGTCATGCTTGAGTTCAAAATTCTCGTCTTCGAATTTCTCGCCGTAGATGGATTCACCGCCGGTACCGTTGAAGGCCGTAAAGTCACCTCCCTGGATCATGAAGTTCTTGATGACACGGTGGAAGATTGAGCCTGTGACTGAGTTAGAGACCAATTCTCACATAACTCGCAAAATCAAGGACTCTGTAGCTATACCCTTGAAACTAAGAGGTTTTCCTTGCTTTCCAACGCCCTTTTCGCCAGTGCAGAGAGCACGGAAGTTTTCCGCAGTTTTTGGGACCACTGTTATACAATGCGCCTGGATTAGCTTTTGTCGGTTGCATTGACTGCGATGTTATTTACCATCATTGAACTAGGAGCATTAAATGTTAGCATGATTGAGCTCGACCTGTCGGGGACCGTGGTCAACATACCAGTTCTAGTGCAATACGGCCCTCTTTTCTTCCATCGATTTCAATATCAAGGTAGACGCGAGATCGACCTATAAATTGAGACTTAGCAACCCTTACAAGGCCTAATAATTTCTTCCTCGGTCGAAAGAAAGCGTAGTTTCGTACGTACCCTTGTCAGCCATTTTCGCAAGAGAATCAGATGTGAGAGTTAAAAAGCGGGGAAGAATCGAAGCTTGGAGCTAGCTGAACAGCAGGTTTGAGGTACCTCACAGGTGAAGATTAGAGAAGAGAGTTAAACAGATCCAAACTAATTGAATATTGTAAAGGCGAGGCAGGCGTAATTGAAGGATCAAGTGCTGAAAGGAACATGCCACAATCGGCGACAAAGCGATGAGCAGCTTCACGAAGCTTCCATTTTCTTGGGGTGCCTTGGTGCCTAAGGCTGCAACTTATGACATCTCGTAAAATTTTAGCGCATCCGTTTGTCAAATTCGACTACAATTTTTGCATACCCCATCAACATCTCATTATCATATTAACTTGGTTGATACCTACGTAATCAGTAAAAATTCCTTACTCGAATGTTAGCTCAGACACAGATCCTTGACTCTGTCGGAATCAGATACTTTTTATTTGTTCTTTGCGATGAAACTGATCGCCATGCTCAGTTATTTCTTCTCCTGCCCCGAGACGAAGGGTAGAAGTCTCGAGCAGATTGACCAATTATCTGGTGATCAACTTGTTCCTCATCGATCATGTCGATAGCTATGACAAACTGTGTTGAATATATATATCACACTAATAAGCCGAACAAATGATTCCTAAGCCTCCATATTTTCATGCCAAGTTAAGCTCCTCCCTTCCTGGTGCATGGTTGCTTCTACGCCCTCCGGATCCTCCATAGCATCAATGAGCACTTGGTGTAATGGAAGATGCGTGCTTCATATGCTAAAGCGTAGAAATGAACAATAAAAAGGGGTTATCAGGTCTCGTTTGGGAAGTTCCCGTTATAACCCTAATGTGTTCAAGAATCCAGATGCTTTCATGCCTGAGGCTGCATTCCAGCCTTAATTAACCTCACTGAAAAGGGAATAGCGTGACAGTATTAGCAACCCCCGTTATTAGTCAACTTCAGCGGGCCGAGTGGCTTTCGTCCACGTAAACACTGCCTCAACACCGCGTTATAAGGGTCACGTTGGCTCTGGCCTTCTCATACACAGATATACTGGAAATCAAGTATATCGCGATGGCAGAACCATCAGAGAAAAAGCATCGAAATGCCATCCTCAATTCGCAGAAAGCTGCTCTTCGAGCTCAGTACCAGCTAGATCCTAAAATGGGTTACAAAGCACTTGCACAATGGTTTGAAGAGAAATACCACCAGAAGATCAATATGTCGACAATATCTCGCACTCTTTCGTCCAGATATTTATTCCTGGATGAGATGCAGGGTCAGACGGTTAGTGGCAAGCGGATTCGTCCAGAGAATTGGCCTGAACTCGAGTCGGCGCTTTCCGAATGGATTCGGCGTGCAAAGAATCAAGATTTGGCTCTTTCACATGAAATTATTCGTCAAAAAGCGAAACAGTTTTGGCCAACCATCTATCCGGGGAAACCCATACCGCAGTTTAGTAATGGCTGGCTAGAGCGGTTTCAGTCACGTCAAGAGATTAAGATCAAGAAACAGCATGGCGATACTGGTGATAGTGCTGAGGATGCGACACTTCAGATGGTTAGGATTCGTCAGCTATTGAGGACCTTTACCCCTCGAGACATTTTCAGCTGTGATGAGACAGGGTTGTTCTGGAAGATGATCCCCGAAAGGAATCTGTCAACACGGGTGGTACCCGGTCGCCAAAATGAACAAGCTCGAATAAGTGTATTGTTTTGTTGCAACTCTGATGGGACGGAACGTCTCCCTCCACTATTTATCGGTACCCATGAACGACCTGCAGCCTTCGCCAAAGCTAATATCAATATTGAGAATCTTTGTTGTTTGTGGCGGAGTAACGGACAAGCTTGGATGACAAGCGATATTTTCAAAGAATGGCTTCTGTGGTTTGATAGCAAGATGGAAGGACGAAAAGTTGTCCTTCTGTTGGATAAATTCTCAGCTCATCAAATTGCAGCTCAAAAAGTCTCTACGAAGCTGCAGAATACTCTTATTCTGTGGCTTCCGGCCTGCCCGGAAATGCCGTGTCCCCTAGTAGAGAACATCATTGATGTTTGGAAGATCCATTGGAAAAGGGAATGGCTTCGGTACATGAACTTGGAGTTTGGGCGTGATTCTGACCCCACAGTGACCATGACGATATTGATGGCAGTTCGTTGGGCCATAACCGCCTGGAATGTCGACCTCGACCCTCAAACCGTCGTGCATTACTTCAGGAAAGCGCTCGAAGTAGGGGTAGTCGAAGAAATCAATCACTCACATCTAATCAACAACATCGCAGCCGGCCTCGAAAATCTACGGCTAGCACATCGACTTAATGACATTATGGACGTTAACGAATATCTAAACTGTCCCGACGAGAAGGTCAACGATGGAATCATAGATATTGACTCTATCGTCTTGAGTCAATTCTTAAGAAGCGGAGATATTGATGAGGAGGATGACGGACCTGAGGTATCGATTCCACTCATTTCAACATCAGACGCACTACAGAGTTTGTATACTCTTCGTCTTTATGAAGAGCAGCAGGATGTTGGAGATCGAGAATTGATTATGCATTTGATGCGGTTTGAGAGGATTTTGCAGGCTCGTCTTGAGCGACAGTATCAGGGCAACCTTTATTAGCTTGTGTCATTAAGAATTTTCCACCTCTCTTTCGAACGCGATTTCATTACTTACTCATTCAATTAAGATAGGTCGGAGGTAGCCATGACAATCCGTGATAACCCGGAGACAGAAAGAGTCTCGACAGCAGTATTAACAATAATAATGGTACTAATACATACACAATATAGCCAGCATCTATGAAGCCTCAGGCAGTCATTCCAAAACATGGTATCCTTTCAGACCGACGCCGACACCTAGATATCTATATGGGCACATGAAATCATAAGTCATGAAACACCGATTATTCACTCTAAAAGAGAAGCAGGCAGCTCGAATTCCACGTACTTCCGCCCATCCGGACCCGTTTGTGTTTTCACAGTTTCCCCTTGGTCCTTACTGCTTTCGGACTTAGGAACATCCGTAGTAATCTCAATAGTTACCTAAACAATGATTAGTAAATGCTCCGTTTGAGAAAACGGGAAGAGTCGCATTGGAAGGAGAACAGAGATTGTCCTACCGCTGCATCTTCACTGCGGTATTCAACACCCACCGGTCCATCATTTTTAAGTTCAACTTCCATCATGGCTTGAAAGACCCCGTTCTTTACTCGCTCGGTTTTGTACAGGTCACTGACCTTCTGGACGAATCGATCGTAGAGGCGACGCGCCGTTTCGACGTCAGCGGCGTTGTGGAAGTCGGGTTTGTTCTTTTTTATGTGTCCGTATAACGTGAATTGTGATACTGATTTGACAGTCAGGTCGGACCAGCGAATACTACTCTGGATGGAATGTACTAACCACAAAGAACTTCGCCCTCAATATCCTGGACATTTCGTTTCCACTGAGAAGATTAGATACAAGCCAATGCGCCGCGTCGACAAAACTCACAGCGGCCTTGGGATTTGTCTCATCCGGCCATAGCTTGGCCTTCAGCACTCTCGATGCCATAATGTCAACATCTTTTTCAGTGTCCTCTCTTCCAACCCCTGCAAACACTAGGATTCCTTGTCCGATGGATGAGATCAACTGGTTATCGACGGTGACGGAGGCCGACTTGACGCGCTGTAAGACGGCTAACCTTTTTAGCACAAAGGCTAGCATCAAAATAGGCAATAAAAAGTACCTTTCATTGTAGAACTATCCGATATTAGATCAGAAGCCTTAAAACAGAGTCCCCGTTAGCTCGAATTGAGACGCAAGTGGCGATTGCGGCGTTGAGAATAAAGTGAGGGGCATACCAAATCGAAACGGCAAAGAAAGCCTTCAACATTCACAATGGTACGAAGCAAACCATGGTCAGTTTCCACCAGCAATAGTTTCAACAAGTAAACCAGTAAATGGTCTGCGCAGTAAAAAGTCCAAAATCTGGAGAGATCCTTGCGTTGGGGAAAGACTCGATTTGTCGCGGAGAAGGCGGGCAGGACGGCAGAATCAATCCCATTGGCCCGTGCTCACCCACTTGTTCCTGCCAACGAATGAACGAGTCTTTCCAGACCTCATCTCAGCATCCAAAAGGCACAACCACGTCTGTTTGCGCCATCGCACAGTGAATTCCTAGGCGATACAATTACTACCTTAGCTTTATCCAAATTCTTACAGCGACCGGAGAACGTATTTTGAGTCCGACCTTCCCGCCATCAAAGTATCCACTTTCTCTCACGTGTCGGTAACCTGGCTTTACACCAAGCCTTCCACAATTGAATGCCGCAATCATGACATCGCGCAAGACACAACAAGAAATTGAAAAGACCTTCAAGAAGGTCGCCGAAGGTATGGCGACATTCGAAGGCATATACGAGAAGATCAAAGTCGCAAACAACACGACGCAACGGGACAGACTGGAGGAGAACCTAAAACGCGAAATCAAGAAACTACAAAGATTTCGTGATCAGATCAAGACCTGGGCTGCCGGTAATGAAGTCAAGGATAAGACCCCTCTGCTAGAACAGAGGAGAGCCATTGAAACAGTGCGCTATTCCGTGAACAACACAACCATCAGACCAGAACAAGGAGACTGACAACAAAGCAGTGCATGGAACAGTTCAAGGCCGTCGAAAAGGATTTGAAGACAAAGGCATACTCCAAAGAAGGTTTATCAGCTGCTTCTCGACTCGACCCCAAAGAAAAGGAGAAGGCCGACACATGCGACTTCTTATCAAATATGGTGGACGAGCTACAGCAAAGAATTGAAGCTATGGAGGCCGAAGAAGAAGTTCTACAGGCGTCGCTAAAGAAAGGCAAGAAAGATGTCACCAAGGCAAACCGATTAGCAGACATAGCACGAGTAACGGAACGACATAAATGGCATGTGAACAAACTGGAACTCCTACTGCGATCGTTGCAGAATGGCGGCGTTGAGACATCACAAGTTATCGACCTGAAAGACAGTATAAAATACTATGTCGAAGATGGGCACAACATAGACTACTCTGGAGAGGATGAGACGCTCTACGATGACTTGAACCTCGGCGATGACGAAACGCCGTTCGGTATCGGCCATGACAACGACCGGGTTTCGTCCCAAGATACACAATCAATACCAGACGAGGAACCGGAGGCGCGAGCCAAGCCCAAGACGGAGTCAGTATCAGGAAGAAGACCATCAGCGCAACTGAAATCGCCACTACCGGTACTGGCAACTCTCCATCCTACAACGACCCCAGCATCGACGTCAAGTCCAATGAAACCTGCCCCTCCCCCTACTCGGTTACCAGGCGAAACATTAAAATACGCGTCTGCTGCGGCAGCAGCCGCGGCGAGCGATCGAAGTGGTGTCGGTATCGCACCATTACCTCCCCCACCTGGTTCTAGTCCTGCATCATCATCGGCTTTCCCCGTTTCAAAAGCCGGGTCAACATATTCTCCAGGTGTGACCTCAGCACAGCTGGCATCTCGCATAATTTCAACACCGGAGCCTACTGAAAAGCCATCCCGCATTCACTCTCCAGCACCTACACAAGCAACGAGTGCTAAACCTGTGTCGGCAACACCCGATCTACCAACACAATCAGTAGAAAAGCAAGAAACAGCTCCCACTAAATCAACCTCTCAATTACCCAATGGTAATGCTGCAAACAGGGAAGAAACGACATCAGCAGCAACAACGACGAGTTCTCAGGACGACTCTATCTATCATCTCCCTCCAGGCTTACAGGACTTGATTCAATCCTTTGAAGTGACGAAATCTCGGGGTGAAGCAAATATGTCCTCAGCATCCGTGCAAAGACTCCTTGCAGCATCACTCAACTCTTGTCCGGAACCTGGAGATGCGGAGAAACCGCGTCACTACAAACCGCAAAATCCATACAACACACCGCTTTATTATCCACAGGAGCCTCTTCCAATTTTCGATGATCATCGATTATACGACACGGGACGCATCGATACGGATACTTTGTTCTACATCTTCTATTATCAGCAGGGAACATATCAACAATACCTGGCCGCGAAATCGTTAAAGAACCAGAGCTGGCGATTCCACAAACTTTATCAGACCTGGTTTCAGCGACATGAAGAACCCAAAATGATAACGGAAGAGTTTGAACAAGGGACCTACAGATTTTTCGATTACGAGAGCACTTGGTAAGTCTATTTTTTGTGCGGTTCATTACTTGGTCTTCGTTCAGCCTATGAACATCTCTAACACCTGTCGTATAGGATGAACCGACGAAAAGCGGATTTCAAATTTATCTATAAGTTCCTAGAGGACGATCTATGATTTTGATCTCGACGGTGACTTTTAGAGTTCATGTGTGCGTTTCTGAACTGGAGGTCATTTGATAAACTCAATGGGTTGCCCTTCTCCCACTTCTTTCCAAGATTTCTGTTTCGTTGTTTCTTTCCTTATAAAAATTAACTTCAGGTCAATTAAGGGGGAGCATTATGGGAAAAAGGGCATCGGCTGGCGTCGGAATTATGTTACTGTATAACCAAACCCTTTTTCTTTTGCGAATGATTCTATCACTGACAGGTTTTGTCTGGCTGGAGGACATTTTTCTGTTCTTCGTTGTCGAGGTAGCGTAACCTAGATTCAAAACCGATACGCTTGACTAACGTAGGTCGTAATAAGTTACATTGTCTTAAGCCAAGTACGAACATCTGTTGATCATTTTGTTTCTGTTGTCCAGTAATACTGGACGAGTCAAGGTATTTAAACCGCCAGATTGCATAAATATTCAGTCGAGCATCCATAGTAAGATCGATTGAAATGAGACTACTTACGTGTCTGTTCTCCCGAGTTTTGATTTCATAGATCGCTGAAGCAAACTGATTAGGTTTAGCGTCCTGCGCAGTAGGTCATGTGATCGGAGGTCTGAGAAACTGAGATAAATTTCGGGGAACCATCTCAAAAATCCCGATAAGAATGATCGAACGCAGAGACATTAACCCTCGTACCTTTCATGCAATAGGGATTTTCATTTTAACAGTTCAGTCAATCATTTCTTTGGGGCTTGCTGTGTCTCGTTGTGGTTATTCTTTCCATAACTCCGTACTGATCAACCATTTCCGATCCTTCAGAGAGGTCAATGCCTTGTTTCGTCCATGAATTTTTACGTTCTTTCATGCGCTGGGTCCTTACAGAGATAATAATCCATCCAAAACTCACGAGCGTCGCTATAACCAGGCATATAACTCCGCAATAAAGCCTTCCACTCCCCATCCTCCTCACTGTCGGAAACCGAGGTGCAAACATACTCCCACCATACTGGAAAGTATCCCGCCCTTTCCCAATCAATAATACCGGTAAGGGACCGTTTTCTACCATGGGGATACTCGGAGTCTTTCCGCAGAAACAGGAAATTAGAATAAATTGGATGGCCACCGAGTGCTTGCATGTTATCGGACTGGAGTTTACTGGGTTGCAGCAGATATTCAGCAGTTTGGCTTGCTATATGCTCTTACTTGTCTGTAGAAAGCTGATGCCAAACTCGGCTGAGCGGCTCGCCGGGTGTATACACTTCATCAAGATCAATGTATGTCCCTCTTCCTCCCATGATTCGATGACGGTGGGTACGGGAATAGATGTCTCTTGCTGCACAAACTGCAGTTGGGTACTTCGAAAGCGGGGAGACGAGGACCTCGATCTTTGAGGATGAGATTGGAGCCTAATGACCATGAACCTCGGTCACTCGCCGCATAGAACAGTTTCACGTGGCTTTGGTATGACAATTCTCTTAACGTTGAACGGTCCAGCTACATGCTGCGCAAGGATTTGAGGCCATGTTCGCGGTAGTTGATAATGCTGTTCAGGTTTGCAGTTGAATCGACCGCGGATTTATATCTAGGCTAGTCACACCGCTTCTATAGGTATTCAGTCCTGGCGGCTTTGTGGATATAACTAATAATAGCTTGGGATATATATGCGGGGGTGATTGGTTGCCAGTATTCATTACTGAGGTAGGTCAAATTTGGCTTCTTTGCAATATTTCGGGGTGGAGTTTAGTATTAGGGCTCTTTCTTTTCGCCTTATGCCTAATTTCCATAACTACCAAGGTATCAAAAACTATACTTACGATACGGTACGTCGATCCGAGTAAACATGCTATAAGGCCTACCTACATAGATTTGTGACACTAGCCCGTACCTAGGTAAGACTACCTGCGCAGCCTATGTATGCAAGCCTCATGTCGTCGTGCAAGGCTGAGAGCATTTGCAACTCTTATTCTCCGAAGATCCTCTTACCACCGTCATATATTGTCTTCATCCTTTTGTCCAGGTTGCAAACGCTTAGGCAAATATGGGTTTGATTGATTCCATCGTTTCAGCCACTCTGGTATCTGCATACCTCGGTGCTGGCTCTGCTGTAAATGTAAACGATCTTGCTCCGTCACTCACAGCGGCAGGAACCACTGTTACTTCCAAGTCTTCCTATGTGCCACCTCTCTTCCATGGAGAGATAATTCAGTTGACCGACCAAGCTCTTGCAGATGCAGCTATCCAGATTCACAATGCTACTATCTCGGATCTTTTCTCATTCGGAACGCATGCCAACAACACCTCGGAATCCCCAGGCCATTTACATAGCTGCAAAGTGCTACCAGGAGACCCATCCTGGCCGTCTGATGATGTCTGGGAAACTTCCAGCTCCTTACTGGGAAACAGACTAATCCGTGTAGTGCCATTGGCCGCTTCCTGTTACCCAGATTGGCCCAACTATAATCTTGAAAGTTGTGCCACTGTCGTTGGACAATGGTTAAATTCGAGTCTCCAGTAAGTTTCTTTAAATGGCATTCATGAGATTGTATGAAATAGTATCGCTGATATTTTTGTAGCACTGGTGACCCTACTTCAATAATGTATCCTCTATACGAAGGACGTTCTTGCATGGCATCGGGCTTTAACTACACAGGTACATGCCTTCAAGGTGCTTATCCTTCATTCGTCGTGAATGCTTCCACGGTTGCACAAATACAACTCGCGGTAAACTTCGCTCGTAATTCCAACATTCGCTTGGTGGTGAAAAATACCGACCATGACTTTATCGGTAAAGGCTCTGGAAAGGGTGCACTTTCGATATGGACTCATTGGTTGAAGGACAAGGCGTACTATCCGAGCTTTACTGCTGCCAATGGTTATCAAGGACCAGCAATCAAATTTGGGGCTGGTATACAGGTCTTCGAAGCATATGAATTTGCGAAAGGATTCGGTGTGACCGTTATCGGAGGCGAGGCTATTACCGTTGGTTTGGCAGGGGGATACACTGCTGGTGGTGGCCGTTCGCCCCTGAGCAGTCTATATGGAATGGCAGCGGACCAGGTCCTGGCTTTGGAAGGTTCGTCTGCCCTATTCGCTTTTATTGACGAGTTGAGGGACAAATTAAATGCTCACTTCAGTTGTCCTTGCTGACGGTAGCTTTGTTACGGCCACTGCAAAGGAAAACCCTGACATCTACTGGATACTACGAGGGGGTGGTGGCAGCACAATTGGGGTCGTCGTGTCTTTGACTACAAGAGTTTATGCTCAATTGCAGACCACTACAGCCACTTTCAACTTTACTGTAGCAAACACTCCTAGTGTTGACGCATTCTGGTCCGCAGTGCAATCCTATATTGACAACATTGAACGCTTCGTAGACGCTGGCACATTCGGCTATTATGATGTCGTCGCATCAGCAATTGAATTTGGGACGGATTACACGGGTGATAGAGACTACTATTTTCGCATGCAGTCATTTGTTGCTCCTAATATGACGATACCGAGACTCAGGAGCTGCTGGATCCCTGGTTCAGAGCTCTCGATGAGCTAAATGTGTCTTATACTCCGTGGTTCAATCATGCTGATAATTTGTCTGTCCAACGTGTCTATCTCTCCTCATGCCTGGTCTCACCTATCCTTTCACAGCCTACTACGTTCGCTCGGACTAACTCGTCTTACCCTTAGTCACGACGCATTGATGTTCGCCTTTCCTCAGGAATACGTAGGCACAGATGTAAGCAAGATTGCCTCGCGTCTTATCCCTCGGGATGCATGGCGCAGTGCACTCGCACATATTCTCGTCAGCATAGAATGGAGCGTCACATCCAGCTGCGAAGTGATCCACGCCTCTTCATTGTACGTCATTCATTGGATGGATCTTTTGCGCGACATTGCTCCAGACTCGGGGGCATATATGAGTGAGGCCGACATTCTAGAGCCACATCTTCAGGACGCATTTTATAGCATTAATTATGCTCGATTTTATGAATTGAAGCAACACTACGATCCTACTGGGCTTTTCTTTGCCTTAACTGCCGTCGGGGCCGAGGACTGGGAGGTCCAGGTTACTGATCCCTTGCCCTACTCGTGGAATAACAGTGGAAGACTATATCCTCGTCAACACTAAGCATACTACTACGGAAGGAAGAAGTGCCTAAGTCCAATTCAGGCCATGGTGATACTCTTTACGGAAATGTTTGGCGACAAGGACGAAAAACAAATAATATAGAAATCAGACCCACGGAATATTCGCTTCGACGAGTCTAATCACTTCAATATCTCGGATTAAGACTAGTAACTGAGTCTTAGAGACTGGTTCTTTATAGGCTCTATATAAATATCGGAACCAGATTTATTTTCCTTATAGCAAAGAATGAAGTGAAGTACATCGAAATCAGCGTGCGAATTCACAATAATGGAAGTCAGAAATAAAGCATTGCTATTCTCGATTCCATCAAGACTACTGCCGGAAAGCCGTAAAACCCTCCAGTGACCTAAGTTATGTCCTCAGGCAGGCATTGAGCAAGCGACCACTTCAATTGAGCCGTATAGAGTGAGTCAATTATCAGGATTCATGGATCGCATAAGACATTCTCCGATTCATTCTTCAAGCCGACATGTCATGATACAGTAACGCTCCAAAAAAGGAAGCCGTTATTGCCTTACTGGGTTGGAATGATAATCTTTCTAAAGGTGGTGGCGAAGCTTCTTTAAGAGAAGAAATCGAGTTTTCTTAGAATCAGCCATGCAGAATTAACACAGCCTAAGATCTAGCTAGTTTCGCACTTCATTTAGCGATGAAAAGATACGTTATTGGTCCTTCAACTATCCTATTTAGGAGATTGGTGCCAGATCAGATTGAGTGTCATTACAGCCTTTTTATGATACTACATAATAAAAATATATTACCACGTTGTGGATCTCAGACTGTCAGTTGTAGTTACTGGTTCAACAGATCGCTTTGATACTGAGTGTTGACTCCCGAAGATGGCAATGTTTTACGGATTCGGAGACTCAAAAAACCCGATTCCAGATGATGATGCACAACGACGTTGCATATCCAGTATGGTTAAAAAGTGATCATCCTGTCAGTCGATGCTGAAAATCAGTTTGAATATCTCATATCAAATTTATGGATCAATTTGAATTCAAACCCTATCCTACAGGGATCGCCTTACGCATTGTCATCTACATCGCCCTGGCGATTTAGGTACTTTGTCAATGTACCGGGTTATCCACTATCTTGAGCCTTTATATTGCTTATGTGTGTGATGACCAGCGTCTACATGTCGTTATAATGGGGCAGCGATATCAATCTCTAGCCTCAAGAGTCGAAGTTGAAGAGTAGCCATACCATACAAAGAAATATGTAGGAAAGGAAGCAAAGTATAGAAGCTCCGACTTCTCCTCAGAAAGTCCGCAGAAAACAGAATAGCCCATTTGATATATCTCCTCCTTCGACGTCTGTTTCTCAACGAACACGGCAAACCGCAGCAGGGCCACCCTCTCCTTCTTAACGCTCACCTCGGCGGTGCTAGCTAGTCCATACAAAAGAGTACGTGTCGGGCACATGTCGAAACATATAATCACTTGCTAATGTCAAATTACAGTTGGAAAACGCTCTTGGCGTCTAGTATTGAATCAAAGCCGACTAGGAGATGCGTACAATGTTTACTCTCAAATTATGTCGGACAATGTCAATAGCGGCTCCTATAATAGCAATTGCCAATACAACGTGGACGATATCATCTCTTCCGGAGCCGTACTTATTGCTTCTTTGATGCCTACCGTGACTGGTTAGATATCAGCACAGGATTGTGCGATTCTGTGGCGTCCTAATTTGAGAATACTTTCACCAGCAAGGGAGTTACAGTGTGGTTTCGGTTTGCTCATGGAATGAACTACTATGCGGATTCTGGCACGTATCCTGGTGGAATTAAGCCGAAAACTTCCCGTATCCCTTTTCGTACCATTCACCCTTGAGTTCTAAGTAGATATGAATTAATGAATTTTAACATCGCGGAAAACTTTGACCAATTCATGACTGTCTGGAAAAACATGTACAACACCATCTCCGATAACGACGAGAATTTACATGTACTAGTCCTCAAATGTCGACACATCCTCGGAACCCGTTGCTCCTGGTGGCCTGGTAAAGCATACGTCGATATCGTGGGCATGGATTACTACTAAAATGCCGACGAGGGACTTCCTCACTTTGAAACAGCCTACGGATCCTGTTAAAATACATATGCCACTGTATACGAACTGCCATTTGCCATTGCCGAGACCGGTACGCAATTATCAAGTGGAGGATCAGCCAGCACGGCGCAAAAGAAGCAGTGGATGAAGGCCATTATTAACCCTCTTCAAGGACTCGGTAATTATTCCAAGTATTATATGAGTTGCACATGGTTTGAATATGGACCTCCGGCGAACAGTATTAACTATTATGTCGTCTACGACCAAGGTAGCAAGGTTGTCGATGAGACAATTGCTAATACTGAGATTGGATCTGCTTAGTGAGATATCCTTCACTTGTTACCGATCTAGATCTTGGGGTGAATTGAAAGGGACGGAATATGCGATTTCGCAAGACGAGGAAAGGGTTATAACACTGATGGAATGGTATACGCATGAGGGCATTTTTATATAGATATGGATAATCATTATGATATTCAACTTCTCATTCTTCCAGTAGGCAGTAATCGAACTGTTTATTATCATCATCACTTCTCAATTCCAAAATCAGAGATGCAAGTTCCCGAATTACCTACTTAGGGAAGTATGCAGCACTTTAGGGCTTCTTCGTAGCCGTACGAAAACCACAACTTAGAGTCATGGACCACCAGTTCTTTGTCTAGGGTATATGTACACTTCTGTGGACCATATTTTATTCTGGTTGATGCAAAGAATATTTACATGGATATGGCGAACAGGCCCCGAACGTCAGAGAGTCCCGAGGTCTATGGCAGGCTGAGGAAATATGCCAGCATGCGAGGAAAGTTTGGTGTACCAAGGCCTGTTACTGGGTCCCATCCTTGGGATGCTTGAAAGCCCTGAGAACCACAGTTGGGGTCTGAAGTATAAATTAGTATTCGAACTAAAGTTGATGCATATAGAAGGACATGGACTTACTGGAGCCGTTGGTGATATCATTTAAGACGAAGGGATCTAGATTTCATCAGCGATCTACTTTTCCAAGGTTGAGACGAGAAACAATATTACTTACTTGCATACAATGCCGGATTGATGAATCCAATCGGGCCTTTTCCAACAGCACTACGTGCCTCGTTGAGGAGCGTCACCACGGCTCCGAAGATAGGGGATGCCAGAGAGGTACCGAAGAAAGTCCCCGCTGTTTGATTCACATATGTGAGCAAGAAGGCACCATTTGCAGAAACATCCGGATATCCACGACCAATGCGATTGTAGACACCGCCCTTTTCACCAATGTTGGTAGCATCCGCATTGATCTCATAATAGGGTAAACTCTGATATGGAAGATCTTTCTTGAGATACTCCTCGATCGCAAGCGCCTGGAAAGGAGCTGGTTTGAAATAGTTGGAGAAACCACCGCCGGTCGCAAAGAAGTCGTAAGGAGGAGAAGTTGGGCCAGCGCCGGTGGCAATGTTGAAGGCGGTCAGATTGACTTGCATGGCTGATTCGGCGTCGTGGACAGTATCGTTGGGGTATAATCTTGTTGCACCAACTGCGGTTATATAAGGACATCCGGCTGGATAGTCAGGGTTGTAAATGGTTCCGTTCATAGTACCGCTGCTGAGACAACCTTCGGCATCCCCGTTACTACCGGGGAAGCTGGCTACACCGTAGTCACCACTGGCGACAAGGATGGTATGGCCCTGCAGGCCGAGCTTCAGGATCTCATTGCACTGACGCTCCACATACGCTTTGGGTAGATATACTTCTGCCTCGCCATAAGAAATAGAGACGACTCGGGTTAGGTTGTATGTGCCGCATTGCTTTTGACCTTTGTAACCGTCTGTAGCAGGATCTGGGTAAGACGCGTCAACTCCTGGGCTGTCCCCAGTGATACCAAAAGCCGAGTAATCGCAATAGCTGCCGTCTACACTGTCAAGGAAAGTGTTGAGGAAACCATTGACCCCAGTCTCACCGGAAGAATTCGGAAGGTCGTCAACTTGATAAACGGTGACTGTTTGGGGGTAAATCAAGGAAATGGCGAGGTCGAGATCAATATCAGATTCTCCACCATTTCGGGTATCATTTGGCGCAACTGGTGCAGTGCCCCCATCAACGGAAATGACATTCGGTTTTGTGCCAGCTGGAACATTAGTCGCAAAGTGCTGGAAGAAAAGTGAGATATCTTCCTGGGAGAATGCATCATAGGTTTCGAACAGCCCCATAGCATTTTCCGGTTGGCTAAAGATTGGATTTGGGATATCGTAAAGAGCCTTGATGCAGGTAGGAGTGATGTTGACGCCGCAGTTCTGGAGCTCAGGAGGTAATCCCCAAGCTGCTGGAGGAAGTGACCAGCCGGGATAATGCGGCGGCCGTGTATGCGGCATACGAGGGTGACTTGGATGAAATGAGTCCGCTCCGGCAACGCTGCGCTTTTGAGGCAACTGTTTCTTCTTCATGGGGGCAGACAGCTTCACTCCAGGTTTGATGTAGTCCACATGGCTGGAGACATGAGCAGGGAGATAGTATTCTTCACATCCGATTCGGACATCTCCATTATGGCTCTCAATCTCGTAGAAGTGAGTTCCCAGCAGGGTCTCTGCATGTTTTGCGGGCATATCAATTGCTAGCCATCCTTTATTTTCATAATGAATGATCTCGCTATGGTCAACAAGACCGGTGCCAAAGAGCCAGTTCTTAACAGTGTCAAGGGTTTCTTCGGCTGGAGCGAAGAGTGCATGGACTTCCTCTTTGGTGAGATGCTTTCCGTAGTTCTCAGAGGAAGGGTGAGAGACCTCCATGAGTCTGTTATAGCCAGTATGCAGATTGCTCTGACGCAAACCAATGCGAACGGGGATTATAGCATCGCCGTCAATGCGCTGTTTGATTTCTGGCAACGGGATGTCTCTCTTTTCGTGGAGTACAGGGCTCAATGAGGCAGCCAAAGCCCCTGAGAACACGGAAGTGTGTACGAGAAGATACTGCCACAGCATGACGTCTCTTGTAGGTGCAATATCCCAGTAGGGCCCAGGTAAGAGTGGTTATCCAGACTCCAACAGCAGCTAAAGAGCGTCAAGCTACTTCAAGCTCCCACGCTTTAGGAGAGAGCAGGGAACAGGAAATACGACAAGGGTACATTAAGCGATTTAAATACTTTCCGGCATATACCGTATTATTAGGTGCTTGATAAGGAGCATGGTCAAGACTAACTAATCAGAGATGTTTGTACGACTCCTTCCTATACGGCTCTAGTACAATGAAACCCTAATAAACGCCATCGACTAGTTCGTCTGTTAGAAGGATAGTCTGTTGGATTAGCACGGAATTGATGCACTAAATCCTGCAGAAGCAAATAATTAGAAAACTCCGTAGACACACGAGCGAAGGCTTAATCCAAGCAAGGGTACCACAATTCTTGGTTGCAAGGATGATTGTGACCAGGGTATAACGATTGCATGATTTTCAGCTAAGACACAATATTCAATAGTGCATAGTTTGGAAAACCGTTTCTACGAGACAAGATAAGCTCATTGATCAGTCGCTTAATTAAATGAAGCTTTTTAGTGCAATCTACTAAAACGCCATACCTCCGCGGTCATCACTCTCTTGTTCTTGTACGTAAATTGGTTGAAGTCAAATAAATATAGCCAGCCCACTTGAGCAGTCATAAATTAACAGTTATGTTATTCCCTCAATCAAACGCACATTGGCCTATATTAGAGCGCCTTATCAAACAATTCAATCTGATTTATGCTGACTGATTGTCCTAAATACACCGAAAGACACAAAACTACAAACGAGAACCCGGATTCTACCGCGATAAAAACCGCAATAATTCTAGATATATCTACTAGCCACGACAAAAGTGTAGTTACTTGTGTGCCTGTCTTGCTTTCGCCATCGCCGTATCATGCTCCTCCAATACCGCTCCCAAAGACTCCTTCAAAGTCATACGCTCCAACCAGTCCTTCGCATGAGGAAAAGCGTTCACATCATACCCATCATCAGCGAAATTGGCCTGTGCGATTCTCTGCCAGGAGATGAACGCGAGGTCGGCATATGAGAGCTTGTTACCCACCAACCAAGGACCGTCGCCGATGTTGTCCTTGTGGGCTTCTTTCTGCTGGCTTAACCATTTATCAAGCACACCAGTGACGCGCTTGATTTCGTTGACGTATCGTTCCACGGCAGAGGGGAGTTTCTCATGATGGAAATTCTTGAACCAGTACGCCTGGCCGTAGTATGGACCTTGCCCTGTGACCTGCAAATAGAGAAAGGAGCGTGCGAGTTGAGCTTCTGCACCTCTCGGTGCAAAACTTAGCTTGCGAGGTTCTTTGCTGTCGTATTGCTCAATGAGATACTCAATAATAGCTCCGCTTTCCCAGACTGTTAAGCCAGTGTTGGGGTCGTGGATGGATGGGAGGCGGCCATTGGGGTTGATGGCTTCGTACTCGGGTTGTTTCAGTTGATCGAAAGGGATGAGGATGCTTTCAAAGGGTACTTCGAGTGCGGTCAATATCAGTGCTGTTTTTAGGGGATTGGGACCGAGGATTCCTCCGTAGAGCTTGATGGGTTTGATGGTAGTCGACATGTTGCAATTAACCAATTGAACTCAACCTAATAGAGGAAAGATAGTGATTCGTAGCTAAGTTGTCCGCACTACATAGGAATATCTGTAAATTATCTACTCCCGTCCGTTGGTCTTATAAGATTCGCCGAAGTGTAGCTATCCATATATCGATAGTATCAACCCAATTGACGGCTGAGATTGCTTTCTAAAAGCTGATTAATCGAATCTCTGAGTGTCATTATGTGATTTGTCAAGAAACCGGTGCAATTAATAATGCATTCTTGAAACAAGACAATGCTATGTCTCCTGGGCAGCTCTCTCGGTCGTTCGGTAGTTCGGCCGTATTCGGCCGTTCAGGGGAGCAAGATCAGGTATGGATTATAAATGATTATAAAAAGCATATTTTAGAAAGAGGATATAGGAAAGAACTTACTATCAGATATTGTTCCTGAAGGAGGTTGGCTAGCCCTCGTCTGTACAGCAGGACAAAAACATGTCGAGTATCTCGTAAATCAGCCTAGGAACTGACAGAACCCTAAACACACTCCGGTTTCATGAATAACTCTTAGATAGGATGCTGAAATTGACTGTTCGAAGACGAAGCGCAGTAAGTATACCGAGTTTGATCATAATATGTATCGAACGTACCTAGGGAAAAGCCCTAATTCTCCGTCGGGCCTAGGTAGCTAGTCCGGTATATGGAATGCCTTGAACGTCAACCAATTGACCAACAATTAAAGCCGACTCACATCCTCTGACGCAGTGCTGCGGTATTTCCAGCATTTCCTTTGTTTCATTCATCCGTAACCTTATTGATCGACCTTTCTCGAAGAAATGCTATCGATCACCGCCGCCAACCGCACTGTAGTCATAGCATAGTTAGCTAGGCATTGTTTCAATTGATAGAGTAATCAGTACATTTCCTATATTGGCATATCCTCAACGTAATCCGTCCAGAGAAACAGGCCGACACGAGGGCAAATTGAAAATCGGTCGTACGTACTCCTTTAGTGACAGTCTTTTCAGACAAACTTTCCTAATCTGATCTCCGATGCGCAACTTCGGCAAGCGAGCTCTTGTACATACAGTTTAGTTGGGATTGGAGATTGATAACAACTGGTAAAGGGAGAAGAATTACTTATATCCGAAAATCATAATTGCTGATTAGTGAACGATCATAGCCGTCCGGGCGAATATACCTAGGTATCTAACCTCCGGAGGATCTACTATCGATTCGTGACATCTGGGGCATAAACCTAGGTAAATACATACTTACATACCTGGGTACGTGCCCCAAGTATTCTGCGAGTGTCACCTGCCACTTAGAATAAAAACGTAGCAGCAACCAAAGAGACATACACAAGAGGTCTGTACAAACTATACTTGAAATACATATCCGTGGTTACAGTATGCAAAAGGGCTGGAAGTTACCTAGTTATATCTACCATTCACATAAACCTCGTCAAATCCGTAGCCAGACTTAGGATCTTCTGTAAAATCTTCATTCAAAACATGTCCCTTTTGTCATGCTATGATTATATTTGTATTCATGGTATATCATTCTTCATCGATACCATAACCTAACCAAACGCCGTGCTTCGACAAAAAACCCAGGGCAATGCATGAAATAAACCCAAAATCAACTAATCAATCCGCGGAGGACTATTAGAATGTCGATCCGATGGACTTGAGCTTTGTCTAAAACAAATGTCAGTCATACATAAACCCCAATAACAGAGCCAAAAAAAAAAGGACGTACGATCTCCGTCTCACACCCTCCTTCCTAAACCCATCAATAATCCTCAAAATCTCCTTCCTTCCCGCCGTCGCATCAACCCTCATTCCAGCCAGACTCATACTAACCTTTTGATGCGAATTTGCCCTCAGGATCCTATCAAGTAAAAGATATCTCATATTCAGACACACAAACACGCCACAATCACTACTATTCTCCTGCTGGGGCGCATCTTCCAAATGAACAAATCGTATAAGTTGGTTGACTAACGCGCCTAATTTCGCGGTTATTGCGCCTGCTTCCATTCTGTTACCCGGTGGTAAGGAATCGTAATGGAACGCAACGCGGTCTACGATTGAGACGACGAGTAAAGACCAGTGTGTCCCGCCCTCTGCTTCGGTTACGTTGCGGCAGTCGTTTATGGGAAGGAAGACGTGGGTTGCTTTTGAGAAGTCCGGGAGGGCGTCGCGGAGGGTTCGTGGGTCGGGGGTTTGCAGGAGCATGAATGACATGCTTGGACGGAGGAGGATGATGTTTGCATGTGTGAGTTTGGATAGGTATTCGTGTTCGAGGTATCTCCTTTTTTCAGTCGATGCGAAAGGAATAGGGATGGGGAACATACTCTTCCCAGAATGATATTACCTATCCCCGTTAGTTTGGGTCTAATAGAGTCAGAAATATACTCACGTTATCCGTTAACCAGTCATTTTTCAAGGTTTGAATATCCTCCCGCATTACTATTCGCGTCAGACCGATTTGATTGTCATGGACGACACACTCACATCTCACATCATGATCTATCAATCAGTTAGTCCCATACCGCCTAGGGAAGTCCGATGAACACTCACAGCTCAAATACGCATCATCAGGTTGAGGATGCAACTATCACCACCCATAATCAGCAACCTGCATGAACGTGTAAATAAAGCACATACACTATCAGACCACCGCCCCATAACCCTCTTCTGAAGTTTTCCAAAGCCACTTTGGCGCATCCCGTACGGTATCTTTATGGTAGGCGTATGTATGTACGTAGGTGGTGTATATCCGTACTCGTCGCGCAAAAAGATACACCTTCCCTTCCCCCGAAAGATATATCCAAGGACACCGATCTGTCTCAATAATGACATGAATTAGCAACATAATTTCCAACTCAAACAACTGGGAGTACTTGCCTCCTTCGAAAGTCAAAAATCTCAAAATCCCTTGCTATCCGACTCAGGCAATGTATCTTCCAATAATCAGATCACACGGTATGTACCGTATGCAGGGAAAATAACTGCGTTGAGCACTATCCAGCTCAAAGTAAAATGTTGAATGCACAGAATAAATACTTGCCTACAGGAAAAAGCACAATATGCAATAGAGAAAGAGTGAGTAACAAAGAGAGTCAGATGTTAATCAGTGGCTCTTGACTCGTTCGTTCCTTACGGCTCCGACGTCACTGTGGCTGTACCTCAGTTGCGGGGCATTGGTAATATGTGGCTGGTGCATATCAACTACATCGTCAATTCTCCGAAAGAATGATAAGAAACATAAACACTAATTGGGTATCTACACTACACCAGAACAAATACAGCCCCCGAAAAGGAATCCTCAATACATGGATACGACCGTCATACAGCGGTCAAACAAGAGCAGACAGAATCATCTGCAAGGGCAGAAAGAAATGAGCAGAAAGAAAAAAGTGTACATGTCAGACAGTTTCAGGGTATTAGCAACTACCTATACAGCTGATCACAGCTAGGTATGCATGTAATATAGATAAGTATGAACATGAGAAAGAAAATCAACGAAATCAAATGCTCTGTCGAACGTTGAACTCGATAGACAATATCGAAAAGAAAATAAAAACATCGTGAATATGGGGTGTAGTCATCAATCGTGATAAAAGCGCCTAAAATGCCGGGAAAAGAAAGAAAATTGCTATCCATGGTCATGGTCATAGATCATCCTGTACAATGGCTTGGTATGAATCAACCGGGTAATTTTGCAAAATGCTGAGTCCATATCCATCCCACCTGCCCCGAAGGATCATCTTGATTCTTAGCAAGCCACAACTCGCCCTTTTCTGCAATCACGTCAAATACTTCGCCTTCTGTGTAGGTGAGATAAGGGTATCCCGCTTCACGGCGGGACTTATCAATATTGAATTCGTAGAGACTGGCTGCAAGGAACAAAACTTTCGGATTGGGGTTGGGGTTTGTTGACGGGGCTGCAGCAGCAGCGGATTCTTGCATTGGTGAATCGGACATTGGCATTGCTGACGAGAAAAATCCCGAGAATCGAGCAGGCGAGGCTGTTGAGTCTGCGGTTCTGGTTTCTTGAAGCAAAGAATCACGCATAAAAGGCATATCGAGACTCAATCGAGGCGCGGTGTGAAACGACTCTGTTTGACGACCCGTCGAACCAGTGCTGGGTCTTCCTGATGATAATGCTTGAGCCATTGAACCAGTGCCGTTGACCGATTCTGCGCTTACTCCTGCACGAGTCACATTAGACAATGATGAACTAGCACGAGTACGACTCGGAGCTCCGATATATGAATGAGAGCCGTTCGAATGATCAGTCTGTCCATCCATGCCGTATGATTGACCGAGATCGTAAGACACTTTCGGGGAGCTTTCAAATGTCCCTGACGCAGTACGGTTACTTGTAACAGTAGAAGGTCGTCGAGGCGAAGTCGGGCCATCTGGTAGAGGAGCATTGAAATTGACAAGATTCCCCGCTTCGGACAGAAGAGTACCGTTGCAAAGTGCAAGTGATATTATTTGCGCATCGACAAAGGAGAAATCAGCTGACCAATCACTGACAATGCCGGAGATATCCCCGGGGAAGCGATCGAGAATAGGTCCCAGTTTCTGTTGAAGGATCTGATACCATTGTTCTTGTATCGAAACAAACTTCTTCAGACATGCCTCCATAAGCTTAGCAGTAAGACTAAAAAGCCGGGGAAGTTCATCCTTCAACGCATCGTTTAGCACCGAGAATTGTTCACCCTGCTCGATAGTCCGTTTATCGGGCTTATCGCCACGGTCGATGACAGATTTATACCGGGCATAATCAAGTAGTCTCTTATTCCGCTTAGTCATTACCTTCTGCGGGCCTTCGTATAGCTTGAGCAGTGTCAACATGGGATCGATTACGCCTTTCCGGACGGTTGCGACCTGTAATCATTAGCACGATTACTTATTCTTGAGGGAAGATACTCACATGTTCAGGGAGAGCAACATTGATAATCTCCCTTACAAACATCCGCAACCGGTGCCACTTGCTCTCAATCTCCGTGTAATTGGATTGCGCTACATCAAGACAGCCTTGAATGGCAACAACGTAGTTGTTGAACATCTCCATGCCCGACTTGATCTCTCTAGTGTACATTTCAACATCCCGCATAACGACTTGCAGCTGGAAGAAATGTTCGTTGAAGCGGTTAGCCATGGAATTATACTCGGTGTCTTCGTACATTTCGGACAGACCAACTTGTTGTCGAAGCTTTTCGGTGCGACGACCAAACGCTTTGGTGAATCCGGAACGAACATCGGATTCTTTTCTCTTCCGGTTGCTGACGACTTGACCGACTACATCGGCTCGTTTCTTCAAATCGTTGATGCGAACTGAGATCTTGGTAACTGCTTCCAATGCTTGAACCAAAGCTGCATGGTCGGGGTGATGCTCAGGCGTGGCATTTATCAACTGGTTTAACAGTAGCGGGTATTTGACTAGACGCTGGACAGGCTTCACGAGTAAAGCATCCAAGTTCCAGGCTTCTGTCAAGTCGGCCGCCCAATCTCGACATTCTTTCAACCAGATCTCCACTTTGGGGTTACGCTGTAATACCTGCAATTTCTTATTGGCCGCGTCGTGGTTCTTCAGGTATTCCGTATAAACCTTTTCCATCTGGGTCATATTCTCCATGAAAACATGGCCAACAAAGGTAAGCTGATCTTGCTCCAAGTTAGACAGACCAGAAGCCGAATTTGGCGCTTCGGCTGGTGAATCGGTACGGCCGTTACGTTGGCCCTTTTTACTGTTCCAACGCGCAGATTTCGGCATCACGTAGACACTTTTGGCTGACTGTTTTAGTGCATCTAAGAAATTCATAGAAAATTGCACGATCTGATCGGAATTGGCGAAAAGAGTCCTCACGTCGTCTGCAGATAAATCCAAACATGAACTGGACGTTCCCTTGTAAATGTCGTCCACCACCTTCATGTCGCGGCCATAAGTGTATTCCGTGTCGACAAGCTCCTTAATCACATTCCGGCGCTGTTTCAATTGCTTCTGCTCAGGAGTTGGGGAGCCAACTGGAGCCTCTCCAGCGTCTGGAGGAGCGATCTGATACTGAGAAGTGGCAGATGATGCCACAGTCGGTGGCGATGGAGTGAATCCTGTCTGCGTCAAGTACGAATCCTCACTATGGCGCACTGGGACATGTTCCTCAATTGTGGGAAATGGATCACTCGAAAAGTTACTTGAGGGAGGTTGACTAGTGTAGATGCTGGGCGAAACAGATTGCGGTGCAGGGTCCAAGGCTGAGTCATCTTTTGGTGCTGGAGGAGGACTATAAGTTGGCATTGGCGGGATGAGAGTACCTCTTGACTCGTCTACGGGAGATTGCACGTGAATCGCGAGACCCAGTCCATTCCATGAATTATTGACCTGTGGAGAGGAAGAAGTGAAAATCTCAGAAAGATTCTTGTTTGCTGGCGGTATATCATCTTTCGGCGGCGGGACTGGTGGCTCGTCTTCTGTAGCCACTTGAATCCAATCTGCAATTGACGGCGAAGCGCTTTCCCAGTCATCACGTAGATTTAGACTAGCCCGGTGTGCGATGCGATCTGGAGTCACATCACCCAAATGTGATAGCACGACCGGTTCTTCCAGGCCGTTACTATCAGGTTGTTCATTTCGATTTTCATCAAAGGTCTCCCATGATTGACCCAAGGATTCTGTTAAACCGCCTCGCGCTAGTTCTTGCAAATAGAGCTGAGTGACGCGTTTTGAATCCCAACCACCTTGTCTAATCAGATTATCGGGATGTGAGCGCTGTCGTTTGTGAGTCTCAATACTTTTAGGCTTGCTGTGAAAAGAGTCCAGAGTGGCCTGGCGGCGTAGGTTCGTAGATTCGTTCCATTGCGGCAATGGCCGACTTTCATGATCAATCGAATCGCGCGGCTCATCAGCATCGTCTTCGGCATCATCTTCAGCGTCGCACTGGCTATCTAAACTCGACTGTTGCTCCCGCGTGGATGAAGCCCAGGATGCCATGCTCCATCTATTGACATCGTCATGACCAGTGGTGTCGCTTCCTGCGTTCTTGCTTGTTTCAAGGTCGTTCTTTTGTCCACGATCTATCCCGTCTAAGAAGAAAGTAGCCCTGGTGGGATCGAGCATGATGCGGATTGATCCTTTCTCATCCGCCTCCTCATCGCACAAGTCATTATCATCATCGTCGTCCTCATCTTCATCGCACTCGCTACTGGAGCTCGACTCGCGTAGTTGCATTATGCGACTGAGAAGATCGCGATGAGATTCATGGTGATCAAGACCGACTTGGGGTTCAGGATCAAAGTTGGTAGAGCCGGTATCATTAGTAGCTGTTGTGACGGCAGAAGAGGGAGGGATGTCCGATGGATCAACGGGAGCTGGGTGGATATTTGGAGTTGTTGATGCACCCAGCGTGGGAGAATCAGCTAGCCGTTCAGGTACTGCCTCTGGTTGGTGAGCGTCAAAGTTGTTAGGAGTGATAACAGACAAGCTTGGAACAGGATTTTGAGGATCGGTGTTTGTAGGCTCCGAAGTAGTCATTTCTCCAGGTGTAGCTGGCTGGGGGTCAGAAAAACCATCGTTAGGGTAAAGTTGCACAGGCGTCGATGCAGACTCCATTGAAGCCATCTTGCGGAGCTCGCCTTCACGAATGAGCATGGATCGCACCTGCTCATCTCTTTTATACCGGGCTAATCTTCGACGTTCAGCAGCTTCTTCCTCCTTCTTGACGGTCTCTTGGACAGATTTGTTGAAAGCTTGCTGAATACGTTGTCGCCGTGCAGCAAAGTCCACATTACCCAGCTCTGGGGGTTTGCGTGTTCTAGTTCGAGGATTTCGCGTGCTATCATCATTCTGTGATGTCTGAAAACGAGAAACGCGATCAACAACCTTCGCACGTGAGGCTGCAGTGCTCGCTGCAGAAACAGGTTGTCGTGGCCTCGAACTGCGCAGAGGCGGAGACAATTTTGGTGGAGGCGCAGAGACATATACCTTCAGCGATCCTTTGTCCGGCACCTGACGAGGACTTCCATGGTTGTGAACAACGTTCCTGCGACCAGGCGATTTGACGGTATTATGCACTGGCACTTTCCGCTCCGGACTATACGCCGAAGTTGATAGATTAAGAGGCTTTGGTAGTCGACTGCTGCCCTTGGGAGCAAGCGGTATCTGCGATGTCGAGTGTGGGTGAAACCCAATTGCTGAGCCAGTTCGTGTTGAAGGGGATGAAGGTGTAGAAGATTCCGATGCCCGGCTCCCTCGTCTACTCGCTACAGGAATACGGGACTTTGTGTGAGAACTTTCTGAATTCATGGTCGGGATTGTATCTTGCGATGAGCTGACAGCCATCTGTGTACCTAGAGGACCTGCCACGCTAGGTTTTAAGGTCGTCCACGAAGCGTCGCTCCTTGATCGGCGGTGATTGCGGCCCGTCTCAATCGTTTTGTTAACGGATTCTAGCGAGTGAGTATATCCCAAGTACCAAGCTGTAGGCGACGAAGGTGATATGACTGGACCAAAAGCTCCTCCTCCTTGAGAATTGTTGAACGGGTGCGGACTGGAAATGCTACTCTCTGAACCTCTGCGACGATGATAAGCTTGGTGAATACCATGTCCTGGCCGATCATTCACGGCCGTGTCAATCGTCAAAAGTTCACCAAACAGTGGTCGACGAGAGGGTCCACCGCCGTAGGTCTGATAAGGTGGAATTTGGGGTTGGTAAAGACTGGATTGAGATAGCTCCGGCCGATCGTGATTTGGTAAAGGCGGGAATGATGTCGGGGGAGATATGTCGGGGGGGTGACGATGAGCACTCTCCCGTGTCTGTGTTCCAGAACGACTGCGGTTGTTGAAACTGGGGGCGGGACTCGCTGCTCGAGACGAAAAGGCGGATGTTGGTCGAACAGGGACCGGAGGAACTTCGTCGATATTCTTGTTGAACCGTTCTACCAAGTCCTTGAAGGAGGCCTGCCGACTCCGTGCGCCGATAAATCGTCCGGGCTGTTGTGAACGAGAAGCACCGTCACTTGGCGATGTACCAGACCCTCCTGAAGTAGATCGTAATTGAAAGGAACGAGGAGTCGATCTATTGCGTCGATAGGAATCGAATTGTTTTGAGATTTCGGGAGAACGAGGAGCAGAAGTGATTGTGGTCATTCCGGGTCGAACGTCGGCGGCTGGCAGCAGGCTCCCTACGCCTGAACTATTTTGCGCATCATGGGTTGTGTAAGGGCGATAGAACTCGCTGGGGTCGGGAGACGGAGTTCTTTCGCGAGAATCGTCTGCACGAGTATTGCTGGAGACGTACGGTTCAGACAACGGTTCGGGTTGATACGTGAGAGCGGACAGAAGTGGGCCAGAGAATTGAGACGAAGAGGTCAGGGTCGAGATGCGATCGATGGGAAGGTAGTCGGATAACTGACGTGAAGAAGGTCGTTGGAAGCGTGGGGGAGAATGAACGTGTGATTGAACAGAAGGGAAAGAATCATAATCGTCGTCTCCGTCAGGCATCTTGCACGACGCCTGAGGAGAGGAAAGATGGCTGAACGGTATGCAATAGTTTCGGGTAGCCGTGTGGACGTATGCTAGCAGCCAGTTAAGCTCTCGATGCGTTGTCCACCAGCCCACTCTTGACTGTCGAATTATCGTCAGCAGACAAAATGTGCAATTTGAAGAGCGGTGTCGCAGATTGGACCAGGTTGGCTACAGAGCGGGCATCTCGTTGGTGCCTGGGACTAGCGGCATATCGAAGCTTCGCCAGTTGGCCTGGATGGACGAGCAAGGTCTATCCTGGGACGGGCCGGAAGAAACTTGGTGATGGTTGAAACTGCAGGGGTGGTTGTTTCAGTTGGGGAATAGCTGAGGCGATAGTTCAGGGAAAAGTTGATCGCTGAAATAGTTGCTACGTAGTTGGCCGTAGGTTAGATGGAGTAACGTCGGCTTGTCAAGCGGTGTCGTGTGTCGTGTGTTGAGGCGTATGGTTGTGTCTGGCGGAGTGAGGTGAGGTGTTGAGGTGAACGAGTGGCTGTGGAGGAAAGTGCCCAAAACGGGAAGGCAAGCAACTCGACGTGTCGCCGCACTAAGCCTGTGCTACTTTGCTGGGCGGTAAACTATATCAATAAAATAATGCACTGACCGTTGACGATGTATCTCGGCTTTGAGATGAAAGCGTTCTTTGAAAGCATACTAGTCAAAGATCGGAGATTAGAAAGATGAAAACAGGAAACTAATGGGATGCTACGTAGTTTAGACTGTTTAGGGTGGACGAGCACCGGAAAAGCTGGCCGCGGGAGAAAAGAGTGGCGGTTTCTTTCCTCATTCAGGGTTTATATAGTTGATGTGTGTTTGCTGTCGAGTCTACAGAATATTGCCTCTTTTCAGAATGTCAGAATGTTCATGTCAATTGACTAGTCAGTTGTCAAAGTCTGCGCTGGCGATCGTCGTCCTATGAGATCGTTGGATGCATTAGCGCATCGGCTAAACTCGTTACTATCCGATCACCTAACTATATAGAGCACAGAGATAAAAAGAGATAAACATACACAATCTACATAGTAAGTCAAGACAAGATATGAAGCTATCTAGTGTCAACAAACTCATAGTGAGCCCGGTGTGGCTCAAACATGGCCCAGCTGAAACGCCGCCAATCAGACGACTCGGATATCCAAGCCTGAAACAAGTTAACATCCAGAATACGATCGGTCAGATCCTTGCGAACTGATTAACAAGTGCAAAATCTGTTAGAAACGGGGTAGGTTATGAACCATCAATTGAGCATGTTAGCTAGGCAGTGAGTCATGGAGGCCGCGCTGCGTTCCAACATGCAGATTCTTTAATAACTAGCTCGCGACTGTACCTCTTGTTTCATTGTACGCCTCCCTGGGACACGATTCTTAGAGGTGTACAGAGTACTCCGTACTCCATACAGTCTTCTCCCTTGCGCTAACCGGGATGGCGTGTTCCGGTTGGTCACCGTGACAGCGTCGGAACGGCGCTCCCACGCTGTACGCTATCTACATACATCTCTAGATGCTTTTCAACACAATCTATAATATCCTCCGTATAGGTTTGTCTTTGGCGAAATAAGACATTAACTTAAGTTGTAAGCCTAAGGCGTAAACATTGACAGTCCCACCAATCAGAACCCACAAAAAAGCCCATGGACCGGTCTGGCCAGACAATGCAAACAGAGCAAACTCTTTGTCTTGGTCGGCCAATTTCCGTCGCTGGTGACAATTTCACGTTGCGATACAGACCGATATGTTCAAACTATCGAATATCGACTCCGATGTCCTCGCTGCAGGAAGAAAATATCGACGGAATGTCGATAACGCAGAAAAAGAAATGAATTCAGCTTTGTATGGAGGAGCCGATATATATATATCTGATCCATGGATGTCAGGAGTATGGCTATATCTGAGTCACTGCATGGATTTGTCAGGAGCAGGCCGCCGTACCTGCAGTAGACTGGTCACACCTGTCATTGTTCGTATTTGCCGATGGACTGGGCGGCTTGGGGTTTGCGCTCTGTTGGAGTCTGTCCGTTCATTGGCATACTGACAACTGTATCGCTGAGTATCATATGGATATCAAGTCTTGCCCACGATGTCTCTAGGCACACAGAATACAATATTATGAGCCTCGTCTAGACACAGTAGAGATCAACGCATATATCTTAGCTAATCTATTTACACGACCTCTCTCGCGACTACCGGGCTCGGCTCTTCTGCCTCCTTTAATCACTATCTACTTTGCCAGCGTCAACAGACCCGGACGGTAGGGCAGGTTATTGTAACTCCCCCCGTTGGAACTCGGGTCTCTTCCCTGATATAGCAATTGGAGATTGCAAGGGTCGACAGGCTTCGTCTGATCCGCGCTGCTACGGATGAGGTCACCGCTGCTAATATCCTGGGACCAGGTGGCGCCACTATTAGCAGCACCAGCAAAAGGATTCGACTCGGTGCTGGCCTGAGGTGTCCACGAGCCGCCGAGACTGGTAGCCGTGAAAGAACGGAAATATCGACTACCACTTGCACCGATACATTCGACGATCATCAGATATAAATTCTGACCTTGGACAGAATAGACCTGCACAGCTTCAAAGAGGTTATATGTCGAGTCGGTCAAGATGGTCTGGGCGGACGAGCCAAAACTAGCCGGGAAGTTACCGATTGGCATCGAAGTCCGATAAATATTGCCGTTATCTCCAGCGAAAAAGAGATACATATTTTCATCATCACCGATAATAGCCGGGTCGATAGGCCCATTTCCACCAGACAAGGACCCTTCATACAGCGGCTTGGCTGAAGACCATCCATTCGCATTGGTAGGATCGCTAGACGTTAAATAGCAGAATGCCGATGCACACCACTCATAACCCATGACCCAGATTTTTTTCGGGGCGAAGTAAAAGAGATCGGGTGCTACGGCTCCCTGACTCATTTGGCTCTGAGAAGCAGAGGCCATTTGGGACCAATTTGAGAATAGAGCAAAGTTCAAAGAGCCATAGTTCCCACCGGAATTTACGTCGGAGGAATACACGAGGTGCTGCCCGTTGTAGGGCACATGGCTGAAGTCTTTGAGAGAGAGTAAGCCTGACGCTGGGTTTGCCAGTGGACCGGTCGACGTCCATTTGTACTGAGCCGGGAGGGGACAGGTGGTAGGGTTACTAGCACCAGTGGAAGTAGAGGAGGTGGTGGAAGAAGTTTTAGTGGTAGTCGTCAAGGTAGTCGATGTACCACCACCACCACCACCTGAACATGGAAGGCACTGCGAATACCAATCATTGCTGTAGGTGCAACACGACCCAGAAGCACAAGTCGTAGCTCCAGACCAGCCGTTACCGCCACCTGCAAGCATCCGTCAGCGTTGTTTCTATGCGTAGTTGTACTTCTCATGGGACTTGGCACTCACATTGACCGTAAACTGGAGACTGGGCTGTGACAACTGGGATCACCAGGAGCAGAGAAGCAGTCCAAAACATCATGAAGGTGTTATGCAACTAGAAATTCGGGTATAATCTTGTGTCTGATGAGTGCAGACGCGAGTGAGTATTTCTCTCCCACACTGCATTGTTCATCTGGGCAGCTGGGTTTATATATTCTGGGGAGATCTGATCTACCTAGCTACAAGCCGGCAGCCAGCATTAACGCTGAACAAGAACCCGAGATCAGACATATTTACCACATATTAGGCTGATAGGAAACAATTTACCATTAGCCATGCTTCCGCCTCATAACTTTATTCTTTAATCAGCACAACCACGATTTGCTACCCCAAACGACTAGCGTAAGCCAAGTGCGGAGGGGGAGAGGTGGCTCGCGGAATGGCGGCATGATCGTTCATATGGCGTAAGCTTCGAAGAAACAGGAGAGAATCATCTTCAGGAACCACGAATGTATAGTGCAACTGTCTTTCATGTCTATTAAAAAAGACTTTAGAATGAATTCATTCTCAAGCCGTGACAATTATGAGTCTGAGAAGTGTACCTAGGTAGAGTGAAATATTCCAAGGTCCGAGTGACTTCTTATTTTGCTTGACTCGAAGTATAATATGTAGCTACGTACATAGGTGACTACTGTATTATCGATATCCATGGATTGCTTCAATCTCCGTGCTACGTACTTGCAGTCAAAGATTTTAACCGCAAATAACCTTGGAAAGAACCGATCTAGTACCCATATACCCATGCAACCTCGTTCATTTCACGGGCTCGTTTTGTACGCTAATGCATGATCACTTCCGGTATGGATGCAAAATGCTACTATTTCTTCGAATTGAGCAGGGAGACACTGAGAATACCACACGTTCGAGGATTTGCAGATATATGGGCTGACACAAGTGATTAATCCCGTCCAACCTTGACCGGCACTTGGCCATAATCTTGTGCCTGAACACCACTTGTCAAGGACTCATGGTCGTGGGCAAGCTAGTCACTGTCGTAGTCATTGGAGTGGGAGGAGGTGGTAACAAACTGAATGAGCTGAGAGGGTGCATCCAGCTTTACCACCGTTCAATGTTGCCAAGAAGGTCGCTAGCGACGATACAGAATTATCCATGTAGAAGGGAGACACTTTAGAGGCAATTATTCCCGAGGCCCGCTCAGTGAGATTGTCTCACTGTTTCCATTGTTGTTGACAATGACATTTGAACAGCAATCGACAATCGTTCCATCGGTGTTCCTGAAACCAGCAACTCTGCCGCTACCTACATTTACTGTAGGAGACTCTTCAGGGCTACACAGTCAGCAAAGATCCATTCACACATGCAATTAATTTGATCATTAATCTTCCATCTGGGCACTGCCCGGGTTCTTGGGTGTCGGATGTCCCGTTCGTGGCGAGTATAATGCATTTTTATAGTCTTGAACGGGGTATATTTCCAGCTCCCGGCTTGTGTTATTCATCAACGTGCCTAGGTAGCTAGATCAATCCGTGACCGTCCATTTGTGTTATTAGGTACATGGGTAGAATCTGATACCTGCATTATATGAAATAGTACGTACTGGGTCCGGAAATAAATAACACTGATAGCTCTAACTTACCTTGACCAGTTCATTCTTGTGTGGGTTGTTATGGATGAAGGTCGGCTAGAGATGAGAAGAGGCTCTCTCGCAATATTAATCTTGATTTAAGTCTGCATAAGTAAGTGAATATACTCGTATCTGAATGTCTGATTGAGTGTGTCGTTGAGATTTATGGTGTTTAGGGTGGATGACGTCAATGTAGTCAACGCGTCGGTTTCCCAAAAAGAAAAATTCCATCAACGCGTAAACAACGCGTCAACTCGACAACCTCAATTTTTACAATGCACAAGATATTGAAACCATGACTGGAGTACGTGATAGTTTATGATCTATCTTCAAAATTTAGGAGAAGATGTCATATTTAGTTGCTCTCGCATAACGTGAGAACCATGGGCAAGAAAAGGAAGCGTCCTCAAAAAGCTACTACACCTCAAGATGTTCCCGTCAAGAAACAGCGAGCAATCACCGCTGTGACTGTCGAACACCCTGTCTTGTCGAAATACTATCGTCGAGTGCTGACACTGAGACGATATCTGCTTGAAGAGCTACCATCATCGTCAAAAGCGCGACGACGTCGCATTACTTCCGTGGGAAAACGAGACGAGATCAATAAACCAGACGCTAATGTCTCTACCCTAGCGCCATCCTCTCAGCAGGTCACTGATGCTGAATTCGCTCGATTTCTGGATTCTACTCTTGTAGGGATACTGCACTATCCCTGTCCCGCGGAACTGAATGCTCGTCAAAGAGAATTTGCCCTCTTTTCGCAGTCCGATGAACGATCACTTCTTTGCACGGATACAGGACCATGTAACCTTCAATCTGAGGTGAGCACCTCCATCACTAAAATCTGTGCGACAGCTAACTCGTCGCAGGTAGTTGAATATGTCATTTCGCATTTATTCAGGCGAAGTAACAAACCTCAGCATGTTCTGGCCAATGGGTTCAGTTTTGCGACCCGCAGACAGATCATGGATCAAGGGATTGGTGCAATGTCTTTCAATATTCCTGGGCTTGTGTCGCAGTTTCACAATCCACATGTGACCGCACTCAAGATGAGTCCTTGGACTGATGTCCTGAGTCTGCTGGGCGGCAATGGGGAGGATATCATGAGCAAGCTTCTGATTGACTGCGGCGTTTTTTCGTGTGTAGACGAAGAAAAAGCCTCTTATCGGCAGATAAGTGGTACGTACGACCCTTACAGTATGGCCATCAACGACTAAATTGGCTTGAATAGGTACTTATCTTTCCGAATTGGAGACCCTGGAGTTGGAGGATGCAGCATGCGAAAACCAAAAGACTGGGACTGTTAATACTGCAGCTCCTCCGTTGCCAAACAAGCCAACATATGTTCTTCATAAACCGAACAGTATCATCTTTGTTCGACGCCGAATGCTATATGCTCGTCCCGCCATTAATTCAAAGGGAGATGTAAGGTTCGGGCTTCGGCATATTCGTAAGTTGATTCGGTCATGCGATGATCAGAGCTAATAATACTATAGATGTTCTGAATCGGTTCTCAAACTCAAGTAATCTTGCAGACACCGTTCATGTAATGAAGTACATATTTCCAAGACAGTTCGGACTGCATAATGTATTCACATCTGTAGTCGACTCGCGAGAGACGGTGCAGCCATTCAAGGATTACACATTGAGAGAAGAGGAGATTGCTCGCTTGAAAGTTGCACAAGGATCTCGCTATGCACTAGTGAGACCCAAGATACCGAAACGGCTACGTGGAGGTCCCCTACAATTGGTGCAAAAACTGCAGAAACGCAATCAGACATGTGCTTATACAGAATTGCTGCGACATTATTGTCCGATTTCGGTAGGTTGTCTAGCTTTAAGCATGTTCGCGCGACTGATTCCAACAGGAAACGGGACCGTCTAAATTTGGTCCAGTACCACCTTCGACGGACGAAATCGAATCCCAAGAGCTCGTGACGCAGACCAGCCTACCAAGCCAATCTCTTCCAAGTCAGTCGGAAGTTGATGAGCAATTACCCGATGCCACGGTTTCAGCTAGGAAGAGTGAAAGGTTTCCGCGAGAATTTTGTTTACTAGGTTATGCAACGCCAACCTCGTCTGTATCTGCATTTTGCAGGGCTACGTTACGAAAGTTGATTCCGCGAGAGTTTTTTGGCGAAGGCCAGGATGGTATATCAAACGAGCGGAAGCTGATGCATCAAGTGGACCGGTTCATCAGAATAAGTCGATTTGAAAGTCTTTCACTTCATGAGGCTTGCAACGGATTCAAGGTAAGTTCGGACCGGATGGACAATATATTCAAAACTAATATTGTTAGATCACTTCTTTACGCTGGCTGGAACCACCATCTTGTCCGTCTTCCAACGGCGAGCATATCGCTCTGTCTGATCTACGTAAACGAACCGAGATCCTTCACGAATTCATGTATTACATTTTCGACTCCTTACTCATACCCCTGGTCCGCACCAATTTCTACGTGACGGAGTCCCAAGTGCACAAGAACAGATTGTACTATTTCCGGCATGATGTATGGCGACTCTTGATTGAAAAGCCCCTCGTTGATATGAAATCTTCAATGTTCGAAGAAATTAAACGCGACAAAGTTAGCCGTGTACTAAAGTCCAAAAAATTATCATGGAGTTCTGTGCGATTGCTGCCAAAAGCTTCCGGTGCCCGTCCAATCATCAACCTTCGACGACGAGTTGCAAAACATATTGGCAACCATTCATATCTAGGCCCTAGCACCAACTCCACCATAACTCCTGTTTTTAATATGCTTTCTTACGAGAAGGATCGCAATCCTGAGTTACTCGGCTCGTCGATGTTTTCAGTCAACGACATGTATCCGCGGTTAAAAGCATTCAAAGATCGACTGATGCGTTCTGGGTATGATAGCAGCAATGGGCAGCTATATTTTGTCAAGTTGGATATCCAATCATGCTTTGATACCATTCCTCAGCACAGCCTGGTAAAGCTCATCGAAAATCTTGTCACTCAGGCTGTATATCATATCTCGAAACATGTGGAGGTCAGACCAGGAGATAGCATCCAGAACAGTCGTGATTTGTTACAAAAGTCCGGACCACAACAAAAGATAGTAGCACGGCCATTACGGAAATACCTTAGCAAGGCTAAAGGTCTCAGCGAGATACGAAAGCAGACCTCTGGTTTCAAAGATGACAAGCCTTTGCGCAGAAACACAATTCAGGTAGATACAGCAACGTTCAAGAATCACCAGGTCGACGCGCTTCTGGATTTACTGAGTGAACATGTTCGGAAAAATCTTGTTAAAATTGGAAAGAAATACTTTCGCCAGAAGAATGGAATTCCTCAAGGATCTGTTTTGTCTAGCTTGCTTTGCAATTTCTTCTATGGGCAACTGGAGCGGGAAGTGCTAGGTTTTCTCAAAGACGACGAAACACTTTTGCTACGACTTATTGACGATTTCTTATTGATAACAACTCGACCAAAGCTTGCCAAGAAATTCCTCCAGATAATGCTGGATGGTCAACCAGAATATGGCATCACAGTCAATGCTAGCAAGAGTCTTGTCAATTTCGAAGCGACTATTAACGGGACAAAGATGCCACGTCTGGAGGGGAGTTCTAGTTTTCCATACTGTGGAAATCTTATCGACACACATACACTCGATATACGTAAAGATCGAGACTATAGTCGTGGTGGTGAGGTAGATGTTGCAGACACATTAACGGTTGAGTCCAGTCGAATCCCTGGACAAGCTTTTCATCGCAAAGTTTTGTCTTCGTTTCGACTTCAGACTCATAGCATGTTTCTGGATACGCAGCATAACAATCTCCGAACTGTTTTGATGGGTATCTATTCGAATTTTGTGGAGACGGCGATCAAGATGTATCGATATATCAAGACATTGTTACCACGTCAACGTCCTTCGTCAGGGCTCGTGCTTCAAACGATTCGAGACACGATCCAGTTTGCGAAGAAATTGATTCAGTCCAAGCGACGTATGACATTAACAATCACTAAAACATTTGATGATATGGACAAAGGCATAAATGAGCCTCAAACCGATCTCAAATTCCAGTGCGCCGTGTCACCGGCTCAGATAGAGTACTTGGGTGCAGCTGCTTTTCGACATATCCTGTCTCGAAAACAAACAAACTACGCGTCCACGCTACAAGGACTGCAACATATCATGCTGCGCAATAAACCGCGCACAGATAAAGACACGATTCGCGCGCGGTGGATAATTAGAGAGGCCAATAAAATGTTTGATAATTGGCGGTATTGATTCAACTGATTAATGGATATAGATAGATACACCAGATGTCAGAAAAGTGACACATGAAGATACCACGAGCAAGCAAAATTACTCCTCATCAGTCATAAACTCCTGCAACCACTGATTCCTTCCAATCCAACTCCTAATCTTCTTCCCAAAGATCCACATGGGGATAGTCAGGAAACAAACAAACAAAAACATAGCACCAAGTGCACTAAACACAATCAACACACCATTCCTCTCCAACCAAGTATTCACAAAATACGTAAACCCAAAGGTCAAGAGATTACGAGCATTAACCGAGACAAAGATCTCCTCACTTAATCTTGGGTAACAATCAACCACATAACCAAACACGGCCGTAGAAGCGAACGCCATGGCCATATTCGCGAACCCGAAACAGAGTACAGGTCCCGTCCAGTGGGTTTCATAGTGGATTGTTGCCCCGAAACCGAAGAAGCCGACACTTCCCAGGATGACGGTGAAGAAGACGAGTGGGAGACGGAATTCGGGCTCGTAGATACCGCGGTTCTTGTTGGTGAGATAGACGCAGATCCAGTCGTTCATGGGACCGGAGATTACTTCGCCGATTAAGGTGAGGAGGAAGGGGCTTAGACTTATGAGTCCTGTTTGGGAGACAGAGAAGTTGTAGGGTGGTTTGACGAAGATGACACCGTTGACGACAGAGAAGACCACTGATCAGGTTGATTAGCTGGGTTCTTTTATTTAGGGGGTGGGGGTTTGAGACGTACCGATCCAGGTAAGTGTTGTGCCGTAGAGGAGAAACCCCCAGAGAACAGGTGGATAGAAGAAGAGGATGAATGGGCGAGCAAAGATTTTGAGCATTGGCGCATCGCTGTATTTTCCAGTAAACACACGAAGACTGCGAAGGTATGACATGCGGGATTCGGATACGGGTTCATGGCTGTAGGTAGTTTCGATCCGGACAGGTGTATTCTTTTCATTGTCGTCGTGCTCTTCCAGATTTCGCGTCTTCTCTGCATCGGCAGTAAGCTGAGCGACCAAACCTGGGGGACGTCTGTAGGTTGTTTCAGGCACGAAGAATATGATACCAAATAGGAAAACGCCAAAGAGAATTGCACAAATCCAGAATGTCCAGCGGAATCCGAGGTTTTGAATAATGTATCCTGAAATCATGGCACCGCCTGCAATACCGCACATCAAGAATAGATTCCACACGGCGATACGTGTGCCGCGCTCGTGCACAAAGTAGATATCCTTGATGGTGGCCAGGACGAGGATTTCGTACGGCGCCATACCGATGGCAGATACGACTCGACTCGCTAGGAAAGAAGGATAGTCCTTGGATGCGGCACCCCAGCAACTAGTGACGAGCATAACGACGCTGGCGAGGAGGTAAATGGGTCGTTTACCGTACACCTTGGCAAGGGGGTTCATGAAAAACACGCACAATCCCAGAGTCAGAATGAGCCATGCAGTTGCTTGCGAGAGTGTTTCGACGGTGATGTTTAGTTCAGCTGAGACTTGAACGAAACCCGGTGAAAGCATAGGACCAAAAGCACCGACGACGCTAGCCGAGAGACCAATGATGAGAAGGATGAGTTCCTTTTGCCATTGTGGCCACTGTATATATTAGCCCCTTTGCCACTGCAGAAGTCGTTCCAGGGCAGTCTTACGTTCAATGGATCATTTGGAGAATCGGACGGCTGAGGCACGAGAATGATATGGGAGAATTTGCCCGTTCCGTGCTTCAGCTGGTCTCTTGGGATGTGTGCATATTCTGGGGGCGGATCGGTTGATTCCTTGTCACCCAGGATAGCTGTGATAGTGTTAGTTTCATGTCAAGGGAGAAGAAGTGATGGGAGAACATACCTGTGCCGGGCACCAGCTCCATCTTCTTGCACTCCAATATTCCGAACGGCATCTTGACAGTTTGTCCTTGGATGACTTCAACTTGGTAGAAGATAGAATATACGATTACCGATGCAGGTAACCTAAGAAGACGATGATCTCTGGGACACGAGATGAGATCAGAATGCGGAGTAATCGATGGTATATATAGATACCTAGATAGATACTGGAGACGTTTCCCCGGATTCCCCAGCTCGATCGGAGAAGAGGCAAGATAGTTGAAGCGGAAAAAAAAAAAAAAAAAAAAAAAAACAGCTCTAAAGGCCTGAACAAAATACTAAAACAGCTCTAAAGGCCTGAACAAAATACTAAAGCTGGAACCAAAGTTTGTGTCTAGACCTTATTCGTCCGGTTATCTACCATACCAGACAGACAGAGCAATCGAGCTGGATGCCACAAACTCCCGAGTCTACACTCCCCGGTCATCTCCTCAAAGGCTAAAATGAATGTGTCCATTATGGCACCGCGTAGACCAGGTTTGACTCTTGACCGTGGAAATGATAGGCGAATACCCCAGACCAGAAAGAGGTTCGGTGATGGAGTCGGCTGACCCCCCCCCCCCC